AGTACTAGTCTAACTACTGAGTACTAGTCTAACTACCAAGTACTAGTCTAACTACCAAGTACTAGTCAAACTACTAAATACTAGTCAAACTACAAAGACAGTAGAAAAACATGAAAAAATAGCTGAATATAAAATTTTGCAGCACCGTCGTTTAAGCTACAGTCGACACGCCGTGAACGATCGCGACCTGTCAACCCAAGTCAATTACAAGATGCACATGAACATCCGTCGAATGATGGGGGAGCACAAGCATCGTCACAAGCGCAGCAAAAAATTGCTCAAAGTAAGAATCCCGTATTCAGTGTCTCATTTTCTTTGGCGATTTGCAATTAAAGCAAACTCGTAATTAAAAACCCGTGCCCGTGTTCGCAGGACGGCAAACAGAATCACGTGAGTTTCCCGGAGTTCCAGCAGAACGGCTCGACGAAGTTGTTCACCCAAGGTAATTTTGCCGAAAGAATAATCGATGCCCGAGGGCACCGACGGGCAAAGGCTCGTTTCACCAGGTGAATTTTAATTGGTCGCAGATTACATCAACGGGGTTCTGTACGAGCTGGAGAACGGGGACACCTCAAAGCCTTCCAGCAAAGAGGACTGGGACTCTGCGATAACTTTCACGGCTCGTACTTCCGGTAAGCAGTGAATTTTTTTTTTTTACCTAGCCGATTCTCATCGGGGGAAGTTCTGGCTCGTTACGAACCAACTTTCCGCACGAATTTTCGCGCTATTCAAACGGCCTTTGAAGAATCATCGCTACCGCGGTGTATTCAGATTTAGATTCGCGGCGATCTTCTATGGCCAAAGGAACTAATTTTTCGTTCGATTCATGGAACTTCTTTATCCGCAGACTCGTCGAACGTGAACGCGGAGAACCATCATGGCGCGACCACCACCACGTCAATGGACACCATCAATACCGACGATCCTGACATGAAACTCGGTAGGGACGGTGAGTTCTCATCTTTTTTCTGTCGTATCGATTTTCGTTAACTTGAAGGAATTAACTGTTCGGGTTTTCGATGACGATTTAAACTTCGATTGAAGTTTTACGACTACTGGCAATTAGTGCGAGTTCCTTGATGTTTGAACACCCTTCTCTATTTTTGCAGACTTACTTTTTGTTCGTTTTTCATGTATTTGAGATATGTTGACATGTTTGTGTACTTAATGTGTTGACATGCTTGTATGCTTAACATATGTGTGCTAACTTAAACATGTTTGTGAATTAAAAACCCGTGCCCGTGTTCGCAGGACGGCAAACAGAATCACGTGAGTTTCCCGGAGTTCCAGCAGAACGGCTCGACGAAGTTGTTCACCCAAGGTAATTTTGCCGAAAGAATAATCGATGCCCGAGGGCACCGACGGGCAAAGGCTCGTTTCACCAGGTGAATTTTAATTGGTCGCAGATTACATCAACGGGGTTCTGTACGAGCTGGAGAACGGGGACACCTCAAAGCCTTCCAGCAAAGAGGACTGGGACTCTGCGATAACTTTCACGGCTCGTACTTCCGGTAAGCAGTGAATTTTTTTTTTTTACCTAGCCGATTCTCATCGGGGGAAGTTCTGGCTCGTTACGAACCAACTTTCCGCACGAATTTTCGCGCTATTCAAACGGCCTTTGAAGAATCATCGCTACCGCGGTGTATTCAGATTTAGATTCGCGGCGATCTTCTATGGCCAAAGGAACTAATTTTTCGTTCGATTCATGGAACTTCTTTATCCGCAGACTCGTCGAACGTGAACGCGGAGAACCATCATGGCGCGACCACCACCACGTCAATGGACACCATCAATACCGACGATCCTGACATGAAACTCGGTAGGGACGGTGAGTTCTCATCTTTTTTCTGTCGTATCGATTTTCGTTAACTTGAAGGAATTAACTGTTCGGGTTTTCGATGACGATTTAAACTTCGATTGAAGTTTTACGACTACTGGCAATTAGTGCGAGTTCCTTGATGTTTGAACACCCTTCTCTATTTTTGCAGACTTACTTTTTGTTCGTTTTTCATGTATTTGAGATATGTTGACATGTTTGTGTACTTAATGTGTTGACATGCTTGTATGCTTAACATATGTGTGCTAACTTAAACATGTTTATATACTTAACATATATAAAATATGTTTATACATATGCTTAACATATGAACATGTCAAGTATACTTAACATATAAAACATGTTTATATAATTAACATATGTGTGTTAACTTAAACATGTTTATATACTTAACATATATAAAATATGTTTATACATATGCTTAACATATGAACATGTCAAGTATACTTAACATATAAAACATGTTTATATAATTAACATATGTGTGTTAACTTAAACATGTTTATATACTTAACATATATAAAATATGTTTATACATATGCTTAACATATGAACATGTTTATGCACTTAACATATGAACATGTTTATACACTTAACATATAAAACATGTACATGTACTTTTATATTTTTCTATAAAATTGCAGAGTGCTACAGGGTGACAACCCCCACAGCCACAGAGACCATGCTACCCTGGAAAAGGGAGGACGACTACGAATCCGGACACCCCGTCAAACAAAACGAGTTTCCTGCTTGGTGCTCCAACAAGGAATATCTGGCGTACAGTTCTCCATCTGCAACATTTTTAGGTATAATTAGCAACGTTTTATCACGAGTAAATCCATCTCACCAATGGAGCTATGTAGTTAACTGAGTATAGTAACATCTCCTTACACTATTAAAAACAGACACTTTGGGAATTTATAGAGTGTTTCAAAAATGATGATTTAAATGTTGAAAGAAAACATAAATACACTGTTTAAATAATTTAACGTGAAGCAGTTATGTGTAGTCTGCAATTAAAATTATTAAAAAAATATTTTATTCAAAGAGTCTTTTACAAGAATTTTGTCAGCAAGTTGGGAAACAGTTGAACCATTTTTATCTGACACTCTATAGAATTTCTGACACTTACTCTAAAGTTACACTTTCGACGGGGTTTGGGTAATCCTCTTGTGTTACACAAAATGGCGACTCTAAATTTTGACGCGTTGTTTCAGGTGTTCTCTGCGTTGCAGCTCTGTTTTCCAATTTGACTTTTCATCAATTTTATGTCATCAAATCATGTCACAATTCTGACAAATTTATATTTGTTTAACGATGTTCATAATAAAAATACTCACTGTTAGAAGTCCATTATGGTCGTCTAACAACAATTTTCTACTCTTTTTATAATATTTGTTCAGAAGAGAAAATTAAATCTTACATCTTTTTTGTAAGAAGACTCCATAAACTCTTTTTAAACAATTTTATTTTTCTAATTTTACAAAGAAGTCTCTTTTGTTCATAATAAAAATATCAGTGTTAAAACTTCCTAATGGAGACAGCTATAATTAGTTGTCTAATAACAACAATTTTCTGCTGTTCTTATGATATTTGTACAGAAGAAAAAGTTTAATCTTTCACCTTTCTTATAAGAAAACTCCATAAAATTTTTTTATTGCATCAATTTTATTTCTTCCAGTTTTTACACAGAAGTCCCATCTCTCTTAAAAATATTTGTTGTTAAAATATGGTCAATAATTTGTTGTTACTGTGGTCGACAGAGGTTTAATAACAAAAAACGTAAACGATAAAAAACGCTGCTTTACAGGAGACCTGTATTTGTGAAGCGAAGCCAGCTTAACGAGCTCGGAGGATACAAACCCCGGACTTCCGGCCAGAGAACATGTAAATGTTACTCATCAAGTTGTTCAGACTTCTCTGTCGTTTTATTTCTTCTGTTTTCTCTTCGATTTTGGGTTACCCAATCCCCTTTGAAGCTCACACGTACACACACGCACATGCACCCACCATTATACGACTAGCTGTGCATCACACCGGAAATGCTACTGAATTCTTTCCACCCCAGCATCTCTTTCTACTGCCATGTTCTTTCACGAGCATCTGTGTTCCACCTCTTCTATGGTGTACTGGCTCTTTCTGGTATTTGATCGTCTGAAATGAAATATGTTTGGTAGCTGTTGAATCAATAAATGGGGATTTGGGGATTTAGAGATTTGGAGATTTGGGGGTTTAGGGATTGGAGGATTTGGGGATTTGGAGACTTAGAGATTGGGGAATATAGAAATCTAAAAATTAGGGATTTGGGGGGTTGAAAATTGCAAAATTTGGGAACTGGGCGCTTGGAAATTTGGGGGGTTGAAAATTGCAAAATTTGGGAACTGGGCGCTTGAGAATTTGGGGGGTTGAAAATTGCAAAATTTGGGAACTGGGCGCTTGAGAATTTGGGGGGTTGAAAATTGCAAAATTTGGGAACTGGGCGTTTGGAAATTTGGGGGGTTAGAAACTGCAAAATTTGGAAATTGAACGCTTGGAAATTTGAAGGGTTAAAAATTGCAAAATTTGGAAATTGGACGCTTGGAAATTTGGGGGGTTAGAAATTGCAAAATTTGGAAATTGGACGCTTGGAAATTTGAGGGGTCAGAAATTGCAAAATTTGAAAACTGAATGCTTGAAAATTTGAAGGGTCAAAAATTGCAAAATTTGAAAACTGAACGCTTGAAAATTTGAAGAGTTAAAAATTGCAAAATTTGAAAACTGAACGCTTGGAAATTGAAGGGGTTGAAAGACCAACAAAGGTATCATTTCAGAAGATCAAACAAAGCACCCACAGGCATCTACCAAATTTCTCAATTACGTTCTTATAATCAAAGGTGGAATCGAGCAGCCAAAGATCCAGTCCGTGATTGGTCTATTCCGACGCGACAGTGTTTGCACTGCAGACAGTATGGATTGCCAGGAAACCGTAGACGAGCATGACGAGTACACGTTGACGGAAACAGAGCAGACAGACTCACCCACGAATACCTCAAGTGAGTACAAACATTCTTCTCGAGTGAAAAATCGAAGCTGACTAAACGGGAATATATGTTTCGGTATCGCTCGAGAGAACTTTAACCACTTCACTGTATTTATTCGACCATCTAAAGTACACCCATTTACTGATTAAGACGAACATTCTATGCTTCTAGGTATTTCAATTAATTGCCCAAAAATGTGTCTTTGGTTTGGGAGGTCTTTTAACATTTCTTTTCATTGTGAACCTCATTGTGAATATCATTGTGAACCTCATTGTGAACCTCATTGTGTATCTCATTGTGAACCTCACTGTGAATCTCATTATGAACCTCATTGTGAACCTCACTGTGAACCTCACTGTGAATCTCATTGTGAACGTTATTGTGAACCTCACTGTGAACCTCATTGTGAACCTCATTGTGAATCTCATTGTGAATCTCATTGTGAATCTCATTGTGAATCTCATTGTGAACCTCATTGTGAACCTCACTGTGAACCTCGCTGTGAACCTCACTGTGAATCTCACTGTGAACCTCATTGTGAACCTCATTGTGAATCTCATTGTAAACCTGATTAATTGAGCACCTGTAAAATTATTTAACGAAATGGAACACTGTTAGGATACATGAAAATGAAGCATGTAGAGGGTGACTTTAAGAGGGTGAATGTTTGAGCAAGTTTAAAATGTCTAGTGCTGATATAAATGCTAAATGTGTTCACTGGTATAATTGCATAAATTTGTTTCTCATAGAACTTATTTCTTTTGTAAATTTTATACAGATATTTCTTATAAATTAATGCATTATATCGAGTCACTCATGATGCACACATAATTCAAGTATAATAAAAATCATATTTGCCTTGCAACTTGTTTGAGTTCATTATTAATTACAATTTGTATAATTGATTGCTAAAATCAAAGTATGTCTAACATTTGAAGCTTTGTTATTTATTTTAATATTATGATAGTGATTATTTCTGGCGCAGCTGTTAAAAGATAGGTTAGGTTAACATTTTGAGTGTACCTATTTTCTTGTACATTATTATCTGTTTTCAAGTATATGTTATTATACATTCTGTACATTATACCTATATATTTATTTATAAATTAATATTTGTTTTGAAGTGTATCTATTTTCTTATAAATTAATATATGTCTTCAACTATATACATTTTCTTATAAATTAATATTTGTCTTCAAGTATACATATTTTCTTATAAATTAATATCAGTCTTCAAGTATATACATTTTCTTATAAATTAATACCTGTCTTCAAGTATACATATTTTCTTATAAATTAATATCTGTCTTCAAGTACATACATTTCCTTATAAACCAGTCTATTATACTCTATCTTCAAATACATCCATTTTCAAGTATACCCACATTCATCCCCATCTACACAAATTAAATTAAACAAAAAAAAAAAGTGATTGAAACTGTACTTAAACACAAGAGTTCAATCAGACATGTTAAACTAAAAGAATTATTAATCACCATACAGGACTAAATAAAAACACATTTAAAAATTAAATGAACAGTTTACCTTGCAGACGGAAGGAAAGCCCCAACCAGAAGGGTATCCATGATGGAGCTGGGTTCAATGGAACAATTCCAATCAGACAAAGCAACAGAAGACGGCTCGCACTCGTTGCCAGAGTGTTGGAATCATCCCCAAAGGCTCCGAAACAGCTCGTTCCCGTACTCGGCCCAGGTTCCGAGTCTCTCGACCGCGCTCATCACATCGTCTTCGGAATCTTCCGAGGAAATCGACGAGGAGGAAGAGAAAGCTTGACCCCTGGAGGTCGCCAAGGGGCAGACATCCTACGCGGACGTCGAACGGCGTCTTCGACGACCTTGGAAACGACCTCCGCGACGCTCCTTGCTCTCGACGCTCCTTCGACGACCCAGTGCCCCTGTCTGATCAAATGTTACTCGTTTTCAGTGGCGATCGAGCGATCTTTAGACCGGAAACCTTTCAACAAAGAAAATTTCGACTCCGAGAAAGATTTGAATTCGTTTCGAATGTGTGAAATATTTCATAAATGTAAAATATTTCATGAATGTGAAATATTTCATGAATGTAAAATATTATATTTCATGAAATATTATTAACGTAAATACTTGAAGTGTATAAAAATTTCGAAGCAAAATTATTTTTGCTATTAATATGAAAATTTCAAGACAAGTTTGAATAATATAATAATATTCTAAACTATAAATTTATAACATTTCAAGAAATTAATTGCTGTCATGTAATGTAAGAGAATATCTCCAGAAATTTGACCAAATATTGTACGAAATAATAAATTTGCACAAAGAAATTTTTCAATTTCTTTGAAATTGAATTTCACCATCGAAACTTTCGAAAGACGATTTCGAAGAATTTAACAAAGAATGTAATCTTGCGAAGAGTCCAAGAAATTTTGTATCTGATTTAGAAATTTTAAAATAGACTTTGTGGGTAGAACTACCTAATTGGAGTTAGAAATTTTCACGAAAGAGTTTTCTAAGATCGCTACGATAAGCCACTGAAAACGAATTCGGCAAAAGAGGAGTATTTCCTCGAATTATTTGACCGAACGAGCTCTCCTCGTAGGACCACGATGAAGGAAAGTATCCTCGTTTTGACTACCGATGCTTTCATTCGCACGCAGAAAACGAGTCGTTTCGGATCGTTTTCATAGTTAGCCTCCGTGAAGAATATTTTCTCGCTTGATTACGTGAATTAAAAATCGGTGCGATTATAAAAAAGAAACAAAAAACGGAAGACTCGAGTGTGAACGAGATTAGGTGGAGTCAAGGTTGCGTTCATTTTTTGATACTCGATGATCGTGTGTATCCTTTTTGATGATGAGTGATAAAGAGCGAGAGAGAGAGAGAGAGAGAAAGATATTTTTTTAAACTTAATCCTCCGTGCACGACTGACGCTGGTGATTTCCGACCATTCGGAGGATCTTTCAAGTAATTAAGTTTCGATGCTTCCTTCAAAAAATTGGCGTAACTGGGGTGTGATAGATTTGCAAATTTTTCAAATTGACTAATTTTTAAATTAGTAAATTTTCAAATTGGTAGATTTCTCAAGGAATGGCAAATTTCGCAAATATTTAGAAGTTGAAAATTTCTGAAATTTGTATACTTTCAAAATCTAGTGGGTTTTTAAACTTTTAAAAATTCTTTAAGTATGCAATTATAAAAAATTTCGAGTTCAATTTACAAGATATCAAATTTTGAAATTTGCAAGCGATTCTGAAATATTCAAGTTTCTGTATTCTTCAATTTCTAAATTTCTAAATCTCCAACTTTTCAAAATATTTGAAAATTTCCAAATTCTAGGTTTGCAGGATTCATAATTATTCTAGTCCCCAAAGTACAAATTTCCAAGACCTCTAAATTCCCTAGTTCCCCAATTTTTAATTTCTGGGATTTATAAAATCCCTAGATTCGTGAATCCCCAAATTTCCAGGGTTTCTAATTCCTTAGCTTCCTAAGCAGGGATCTCCAAATCCCTAGATTTCCAAATCTCCAAATTCCCAAATCTCAAAATCCCCAAATTCACAAATCCCCAAATCCCCAAGTTCCCAAATTCCCAAATCCCCAAATCCCTAAATCCCCAAATCCCAAAATCCCCAAATTCTGAAACCCAGAATTCTCCAAATCCGCAAATTCTGAAACCTAGAAATCTCCAAAATCCCCAAATTCTGAAACCCAGAATTCTCCAAATCCGCAAATTCTGAAACCTAGAAATCTCCAAAATCCCCAAATTCTGAAACCCAGAATTCTCCAAATCCGCAAATTCTGAAACCTAGAAATCTCCAAAATCCCCAAATTCTGAAACCCAGAATTCTCCAAATCCGCAAATTCTGAAACCTAGAAATCTCCAAAATCCCCAAATTCTGAAACCTAGAAATCCCCAAAATCTCCAAATTCCCTAGTCCCCAAATTCTGAAACCCTGAAATCCCTAAATCCCCAAATACTGAAACCCAGAAATTCCCAAATCCCCAAATTGCTAACCCCAGAAATCCCCAAAATCCCTAAATTCCTAAGTCCCCAAATTCTGAAACCTTGAGATCCCTGAATCCCCAAATTCTGAAACCCTGAAATCCCTAAATCCCCAAATTCTGAAACCCTGAAATCCCCAAATCCCCAAACGACCAGATCAGCCCCTCCAAAATTGCAATATAACGCGCGGCGATCAAGGAAACTTCCCCGAAATGTCCTAGTTACGCCAATGGAGACAATTGAGAGTAGTAAAGGATGAGAGTGGATAGGTGGGCAACGGTTATGTCGATTTTCGTCGCTGCGTTGCTTTCTGCGTGCTGAAAGCGAGAGAACATGGGTGCACCAACGCGAGCACACCACTTTCCTATAATATTGTATTTCTCAGCGTACGTTTCCTGAGGGACGACTTATCTGCGATCGCTCATGACTCGGTATCGTGGCCTTAAGATTCCTAGATGTATCCTAGCTGCAACTCTGCACCTTCTTGCGTGTACATGTTTCCAGAGGAGACGTAGAAACCGGAGGGTTAACTTATCGAGTCGCTTTCGAAGCAGTGCTCACCTTATTTTTCCACCAGATTCTTGCGAACTTTCCTTTCGAGTAAACAAAAAAATACCATATCCAATGTACAAACTTACGCTAGATCGTTTCCCGCCTGGAAACGGATATTACCTAACCTGAAATCATGCTTTCGACGACCAATAGCGTGACCTTTTCAAATGCCCTCGAGATGGATCTCTGAAAATGTATATCAAGACTCGAGATATATCGAGCTCGATAATTATACTCGTACAGAGTGTCTCGTTATGATTAACTTTCGAAAAACAATTTTAACGAGAATTTTCGAAAATAAATTATGTTAAAGGTAATACTTTATTTAAGCAAAATTTAATTTTCTTATTATTTGACTAAACTAAATAAACTAAATTGCGGTACTTATTGATGCATTTGATTTTTAATTATAATTTTATGGATTACTTGAATTGGGTCTCGCAATGGCGGCCATTTTGTAATGCAGAGGATGGCCCTCACGGAACCTTACAGAAATTTTACAGAATATATTGGTAAATTATAATTACACAAAGAAAGTGAATTTGTGTGTTATTTTTATTTTATTTAGGACCTTGTTTCTCTAAAATATAAGGTATTTATTGCTTTATTTAGAAATTGAATCAATTTAATTGCGGCCATTTTGTAATGCAGAGAATGGCTCTCACGGAACCTCACAGAAATTTTACACAATATATTGGTAAATTTTAATTACACAGAGAAAGTGAATTTGTGTGTTATTTTTATTTTATTGAGGACCCTGTTTCTTTAAAATATAAAGTATTTATTACTTTATTTAGAAATTGAGTCAATTTAATGGCGGCCATTTTGTAATGCAGAGGATGGCCCTCACGGAACCTTACAGAAATTTTACAGAATATATTGGTAAATTATAATTACACAAAGAAAGTGAATTTGTGTGTTATTTTTATTTTATTGAGGACCTTGTTTCTTTAAAATATAAAGTATTTATTACTTTATTTAAGAAATTGAGTCAATTTAATGGCGACCATTTTGTAATGCAGAGAATGGCCCTCATGGAACCTCACAGAAATTTTACAGAATATATTGGTAAATTATAATTACACAAAGAAAGTGAATTTGTGTGTTATTTTTATTTTATTGAGGACCTTGTTTCTTTAAAATATAAAGTATTTATTACTTTATTTAAGAAATTGAGTCAATTTAATAACAGCCATTTTGTAACGCAGTTTCTCTAAAATATAAAGTATTTATTACTTTATTTAAGAAATTGAGTCAATTTAATAACAGCCATTTTGTAACGCAGTTTCTCTAAAATATAAAGTATTTATTACTTTATTTAAGAAATTGAGTCAATTTAATAACAGCCATTTTGTAACGCAGTTTCTCTAAAATATAAAGTATTTATTACTTTATTTAAGAAATTGAGTCAATTTAATAACAGCCATTTTGTAACGCAGTTTCTCTAAAATATAAAGTATTTATTACTTTATTTAAGAAATTGAGTCAATTTAATAACAGCCATTTTGTAACGCAGTTTCTCTAAAATATAAAGTATTTATTACTTTATTTAAGAAATTGAGTCAATTTAATAACAGCCATTTTGTAACGCAGTTTCTCTAAAATATAAAGTATTTATTACTTTATTTAAGAAATTGAGTCAATTTAATAACAGCCATTTTGTAACGCAGTTTCTCTAAAATATAAAGTATTTATTACTTTATTTAAGAAATGGAATCAACTTAATTTTAAAAAACCAAAGAGACCATGCTTGCTAAAATAATTGAACGCTAACTATATTTTAAAAAATGAAGATGTCCCATAATTATTAAAAACGATAAAAATGTCGTAATGGAACACCATGTACGAGTATAGATTGTAAAAATGGACGTCCTACCGTGGATCGTTTTCGCGAACACGTGGAAGTTGTTAAAACGCTCCTCCCTTTAAGTACGGCTTTAAACGATTACTAATAATTAACTAACTAATTAACTGATTAAACAAGTTACGAAATAAGAGTCTCAAGTAGAAAAGCAACCGCGAAAAGATGTCGTAGGTCAGTATCTAACGCGTTGATACCACTCTATATGTACATAAAACCAAGAAAAAAAACAAGAAATAAGGATAAGAAACTTTTCTTAGCGAGAGATTCGTAGCAAGTTATCGCGACGACTATTATTACAATCATTTATCGGACACGAGACGAAGAAAACAGGAACATCGGTGTGTCAGAGTGCGCGTGTGTGTACATGTGTGCGTGTGTTTGTGTGCAACCAATGGTTGGTGCTAAGGGAAACTATAGAATTCGGGTTTTTATGAGAATTGAAGGATTTTCCAGGGCAACTGAAACTTATGTGCTTAAGGAATTGAAAGATACACCGACCCGTATAAGGTTAACGCGTTCGCTGCGGATCGTGGAACACGTGCTAACTTAACACGCTAAACTTTGAAAATTTTACTCTTTGGAAATTCGAAATTTCCAGATATTTGTTTTGGAAGTTTTGGGTTGGGGATTTGAAGGTATTCAGGAGGTGATTTGTGGAGGTGAAAATTTTAATCTTGAAATAGTTAAGCTTTCACATTTTTACATCTGGTGTTAATACACTGGATTTACGAGACTCGTCAAAATGACAGATCATGGATATTTTATATGAGTTATTGAGCCTTTGCCGTACAATTTGTCAGATGCGTTAGTCAAAACTAACTATTCATAGGTGTAATGTTTAAATTCCTAAATCCTTAAATTCTTACATTGCTAAATTTGCAAGTGTCCCAAATGTCCAAGTACCAAACGTTTAAATCTTCAAACTCTCACATCTTCAAAATTCTAAGTTCCTAAATACTTAAGTTCCTAAATTGCAAATGTCCCAAATGTTCAAGTCCTAAACTTTTAAATCCCCAAATTCCTAAATTTCATAAATTCTTAAGTCCCCAAATTACAAATGACCCAAATATCTAAGTCCAAAACATTAAAATCCCCAAACTCCCAAATCCCAAATTTTCAAATTCTTTCATTACAAAATCCCCAAATTCCTCAAATTCCCCAAGTCTCCAAATTCCCAAATTCCTCAAATCCCTGAAGTCCCCAAATCTTCAAATTCCCAAATACCCAAATCCCCAAATTCCTCAAATTCCTCAAATTCCTCAAATTCCCCAAATTCCCCAAATCCCCAAATTCCTCAGATTCCCCAAATCTCCAAATTCCCAAATTCCCCAAATCCCTAAAGTCTACAAATCTTCAAATTCCCAAATACCCAAATCTCCAACTCCCCAAATTCCCAAAATTTACCAAATTCCTCAAATTCCCCAAATTCCCCAAATCCCTAATGTCCCCAAATCTTCAAATTCCCAAATACCCAAATCTCCAAATTCCCAAAATTTACCAAATTCCTCAAATTCCTCAAATTCCCCAAATTCCCCAAATCCCCAAATTCCTCAAATTCCCCAAATTCCCCAAATCCCTAAAGTCCACAAATCTTCAAATTCCCAAATACCCAAATCTCCAAATCCCCAAATTCCCAAAATTTCCCAAATTCCTCAAATTCCTCAAATTCCTCAAATTCCCCAAATTCCCCAAATCCCGAAATTCCTCAGATTCCCCAAATCTCCAAATTCCCAAATTCCCCAAATCCCTAAAGTCCCCAAATCTTCAAATTCCCAAATACCCAAATCTTCAAATCCCCAAATTTCCCAAATCCCTAAAGTCCCCAAATCTCCAAATTCCCCAAATCCCCCAAATTGCCCAAATTCCTCAAATTCCCCAAATCCCCAAATTCTCCATATCTTCAAATCTTCAAACTACCAAATGTTCAACTTACATCTCTGCCTTAGGTCCTCAAATTTGCCCAAAATGGCCAAATAGTGAGAACCTCGTCCAAAACAACTCAGCATTTTATACGCGTATAAAACAAATAACGTATAAAAATAATACTGTCAATATTTACCCTCAATACCAATATTAACATTAATAGTTCATGGTACACGCAGCGAGGGTGTTAATCGTTTAGAATAAAATAAATTGGTCGAAAATGTGATAGTCCCACGAACTTGAGTAACTAGAGAAGATCAATGGAATTATTTTATTCAGCTAAGAATTAAGGAAAACGTAGACGACTTTTCTTAAATTGCTGCGTTGTTCAAGTTAAAGCTTTAGTTGAAATAATATTTAAATACTTTGATTAAAATAATATCTGAATATTCTGAAATAACAATATTATATTCAGATATTATCTGAATACTTTTGAGTGTCTAGATATGTCTAGATATATCTAGATTCTATGCACAAGATTACAAAGAGCAAGTTTAACTCTTTGCACTCTTTAGTTTCTTTCAGCAGCCAACTCTTTGATTTACAAAATCAATCAAGAAAGGGGTTGTCGATAAAATGTATTGTGACAGTGCAAAGTACGTGACAAATACATTTTTCATTTATTACAACTAGTGAATAATAATAAATTATTATAACTAGTAAATAAATGAAAATACACATATTCAACCAGTTTATTTGAATTGTTTGTGAGATTCAAAAGAAATTTAATGTCGAGCCTCCCTCGACTAAGAGTGCAAAGGGTTAAATCAGCGAAACGATTTCACGCGTGGAAATAAGAAAGTTCAGACGTTTGTTTGTTCCTCGTTAATCATAGTGAGCGACTTTTGGAAATCGAGTCACGATACCCATAGTACTCTAAGTCGACGAGAAGTAATCTCATCGTAGTGTAAATATAAATTTATCGTGCATTGCGTTTCAGAAGTCGCTCGTCAGATTCCTTTGAACGTATGATAAGAATGTTCTTCTTATTGAAACACGTGGAATCGATGCTAGAACTATTATAGTAAAAGAACAAGATTTATTTTGAAAGTGGTGCATTTTCATTTATTTTGAGAAAATTAAAAGTTAGCATATATGTCAATGAAAAAATTTAGGTTAATTACATCAAGACTTCAGCAATTTTTTTACTGATTGGTCAGTTTGATTATACAAATTTTTATTATTAAAAATTATTACAAATTATTATTACAATATTATTACAAATTATTGTTAAAAAATTATTAAGAAATTATTACAAAGTTATTACAAAATTATTACAAATTATTATTAAAAAATTATTAAGAAATTATTACAAAGTTATTACAAAATTATTACAAAGTTATTGCGAAATTATTACAAATTTGTTTTAGGTGATACAACTAAAATAATGTATGTTCATGCAAATGAATTTACACCATTTTTAAAATAAACCAATTATGGTTGTTCGAAAAAACTGTATCGAGTTCTGACATTTTACTGTGAAAAGCACTGTCTCTTTTGGAACGAGGTCAACGAATTGTCAGGCTTCAAATAGATTCTGTTTGTATAGTTATGGTGCAATTTTGGATAGCCTTTGATGGTGTGCAATTTTGTTTAGAACGATTTTGTGAGAAAGTTAAAAATTGTGAGTGATGTTTTTCGGATATCGTGGATGCGAATCGTGTCTCTTGTCAATTATACATAGGTTTGTTGCGGCTTTTATTTTGGACTTTTAGGGGAGTGATGGACAACTGGTCAGGGCAAATGGCGAACGGTGGATTGTGGTGGAATTATTTGAGAATTTGAAAGTTTTGGGATGGAAAATGGGAGGTTTGGAAATTTGAGAGTTGGGGCGGTTGGAGAATTTGGAAATTTGGGAATTTTAAGAATTTTAAGAATTTGCAAAATGGTATTTCTAAGTTTTTGGATTTCGGAATTCTTGAAGTTTTAAATTTCTGAGGTCTTCAAGTTGAGAGTTGCTGACGTTCCGAATCCCTCAAGTTCCGAATTCCTCAAGTTGAGAATTTCTAAATTTCCGAATTTCCAAATTTCCAAATTTCCACGCTCCCAAATCCTCGAATCCCCTAATTTTCAAATTCTGAAATTTTCACGTTCCTAAATACTCAAATTCCCAAATTTCCACGTTCCCAAGTCCACAAACTCCAAATTCTCACGTTCTCGAATCCTCGAATCCCCAAATTTGCAAATCCCGAAATTTCAAAACGTCAAATCCTTAAATCCCCAAATTCCCAAATTCTCAAATTCCCAAATCTCCAAAATCCCTAAATCTCCAAATCCCCAAATCCCCAAATCCCCTAATTCCCAAATCCCCAAATCCCCTAATTCCCAAATCTCCAAATTCCCAAATCCCTAAATCTCCAAATCCCCAAATCCCCTAATTCCCAAATCTCCAAAATCCCCAAAATCCCTAAAATCCCTGAAATTCCCAAACCCCCAAATTCCCATATCTCCGGAATCCCTAAAACCCCTAAAATTCCCAAATCCCCAAATCCCCAAATTCCCAAATTTAAAAATTGCCAAAATGCCCAAATGCCCAGAAGTGCCATCACTGTTTTAGATCGCAATTTTGTCACGCACACCTAGCTCGATTGCCGCGTGCTTGAAACCGAAGAGGAGACAGATTTCAATTTTCGTAAAAATCTCGAACGAGTTCGAAATTTCCCTTCGCGCAATATAATTCCTGGCGGCCTCTAGTTACCTAGGTCGGATGAAACGTCGGGCTAGACTCTAGACGTTAGTCTTTATGCTGTTGATTTGTTAAAATAAATGTTTATTTCGTAAAAAAGAACGGGGCTTTTGATTACCTTGGAAATATCCTGGTTCCCTTAACGTTGCCATTTTTCTGCAAACATTTACTACTTTAACTCACCTCTTCTTACTTATTACGACTTGCAAAAAAATTATAGTATAAATTTAATATGAACTTGGTTTTAAATTTACTATGAACCTGGTTTTAAATTTACTATGAACCTGGTTTTAAATTTAATATAAACTTGGTTTTAAATTTACTATGTTTGCTCTGCAGCTAAAATTTCCAATAAGGAAATGCAAATTTTATTCGATTAATATTATCAAGGTTAATATATTATTTTTACTGCAGAAGGTTTAACTTAGCTATTTAAAAACTATTTAATTAGTGACAACCTTAAATACCTCGTTACAAAAAATTATCCTCGAACTTCAATTTTACCCTAAAATGTATCATGTTTTATAAAAGCTCCTTTAATCAGTGGATCTTGCAGAGACGAAGATTAAAGACTTACTAAAGAAGAGAGCATAACTGAAGCTCAGATATGATTTTAGACGCAAAGTGAGCTTGAAACGACTGATCAACGTCGTCGCGTTAATTACACCGGGAATAGTAAAGTGATTAGCGATGGGTTAATTGAAGCTTCTACCAAGGGTCGAACGTTACAGAAACAAGCATCGTAACTCGACATCCACACTGAACGTTGTGGATCTTTTACTATTTCTTACTTCGTTTCTTCGTTCTTTATTTAAACCATTAATTTACCTTATTTCATCGTTTATTTAAACTCTCTCAAAATGCCCGGAGGTGTCGTATTTCTAGTCTGCATACCCACGTACAGTTACGAACACGAGTTGATCTTCGGTGAACCCCTAAAACGAACCAAAAGGAACGATAAACAAGAAACATCCGTAATAGGACCGAAGGTGGATCTACGTTTAAGAGAAACAAAAACGAGGACTCAGTTACTGACGCTGGATGACGACGACGAGTTAGAAAGCATCGTCGAAGTTAATGATGATGGCAGGAGACATGTGCGAAGAGGACTCACTTCCGGACGAGAGAGGAACCCAGTTTTTGTGTCCATGGAAACGGTAATTTCAGAATTTAGTCAACTTTCATAACTTGGAGATAGATTTCTAAATTTGTAGATTTATTAACTTGTAGACTTGTAGATGTATTGATTTGTAAATTTGTGGATTCATAGTTTTGCTGAAAAGTGGAAGATACATTTCTTCTATATCTTTATTGTTCCTAGAGAAATTGTGCATCCCTGTGAAGTATATTGGTAGTCAAATCTTTAAACAATACCTACATGTATTTTACTGTACATCATTTAGTATTATTATACATTATTACTGTGCATCATATGTAATATTATGCTATACATCATTACTATTCTTCATATATTATATTATACATTATTACTATTCCTCATATATTATATTATACATTATTACTATTCTTTATATATTATACTACATGTCATTACTATTCTTCATATATTATACTATACATATATCATTACTATTCTTCATATGTTATACTATACATTATTACTATTCTTCATATATTATCCCAAACATTGTTACTCTTCTTCATACATATTATATTATACATCAACTATTCTTCATATGTTATACTATACATTATTACTATTCTTCATATATTTACCAGATATTGTTACTCTTCTTCATATATTATATTATACATTATTAACTATTCTTTATATATTATACTACATATATATCATTACTATTCTTCATATATTATATTATACTACCACACTACACATCATTTATACACAATCCTCTCTCATTTATTACTTCTTCCTCTTCCACTATTAATTACTACAATACCTAAAGGTTTTGGGTGAGTTGCTGAAGAAGCTAAAAGTAGAGCACGTGGTGTGGTGCAAAGACAAAGAGGACATGTACTACGAGGTAAGCAACCAACTCCTTCTTATCACTTCTCCTAACTTTTTATCTTCCCTCAGGTGATATTTCCGGTACCAGCTGGAGAACCCTGCGAGAACTGTCTGCATTGCCTAACAGAAATGGGGATCGGTGTAAAAATGAACTCCATAGTAAGGTACTTTCTTTCTAAGGTAAATTGTAAGTTAAACGACTTAACTTTTTAATGAATTTTTAGTGTGATTCCTACGCAGTGCACGTACAGTGGCATTGGTAGTGTGACTACTTCTGCGGCCATCAAGGATGACATAGCTCGAAGGTCTCCGTTGCGAAGTTCTAGTAGTTACAATCATATTCTGCTAGTTAAAATAGTATAAGAATCGTAATGACTGCGAATGTTTCAGACGAAAGGAGTCGGAAGATAGGAAGAATGCTTGGAAAGCTTTTGTGGAGTCGATACGGTCGAAATTGACGGTGAAACAGGTTGTGGATGGCGTTCGTAGTGGTGGAGATCTCACGTTCGATTATGTGTTACTAGTACTCACAGCTGAGTGAGAATTACTTCTTTTATTTATTCTAAACACTCTTAAATTCTTTTACTTAGCTCTTAAACTCTTTACATTCTTAAACTTTCGAAACAAAATTGCAATGAAACTTATTAGTCAATACTCTTGCTAGAAATACTACAGCGTCCATTTCTTTTAATACTTAAACCCTTTAACCCTAATACTTTAAAACCCTTGTCGAGTGCAAAATATTAATATCTACGTTATCCACAGTTGTCTGGCCGCACTGGGTCTCATCGAAAACAGCGCAACAAACGTTGTCGCCGCCATGTTGGTCTCTCCCTTAATGGTAATATCCGATCTCCCTGCGTTAATTTCCTGTCAACTTATTCATTATTAAATCTCAAGGGTCCCGTAATGTCGCTAACCTTCGGCACCATCATAGCCGACAGAAATCTTCAATGTGTCGGCTTGAAGAGCCTGCTGCTCGGAATATTCGTCTCGATCCTCTTTGGCTTCATATTTGGACTCATTCTGGGCACCACCGAAATGCCTTGGGGTTACAATGATTGGCCCACCGACGAGATGAAAGGCAGGTATGTGTTTGTCTTCAGATATAAATCTCTTTATATCTAATTAATTTTTATAATTAAAAACTATTTATTTGTTGATAGAGGCAACTATAGATCACTCTGGATGGGTGTATTGTGGGCTCTGCCGTCAGGTACAGGTGTAGCGGTAGCTCTGTTGCAAGGAAGTAATGGTCCTCTGATCGGTGTCGCCATTTCCGCTTCTTTACTGCCTCCAGTAGTGAATTGCGTGAGTGAATAAATTTACATTTCTGAATCAATGGTTGTAACGAAAACCAGTGTCTATTGCAGGGGCTATTTTGGGCTCTAGGATGTATATGGTTAATTTATCGACCAATTAAAATGCCACATATGAAAGGAGAGTCGTACACGGACTACAACACCTCGTACGTCTACGTCTACACTGATTATCTACCAGTCGAATTTTTCTGCAATGGCATAATCAGCGCGTGTTTGACGTTTATCAACGTGATGTGCATATTTATCACTGCGATTATTGTGCTGAAGGTAACGAAAACTATAGATCAGCTTTGCACTGTAATTTTAAAGAAACTAACTTCTCTTGTAACTAACTTCTCTAGTAACTTAGTTATTACATTCGATAATTTTACAAATTATAGTAGACTCACAACTGCAATAGACTTGTTACATTACTAACAAGATTATATAAGCGGAATTTTATTAAAATACAAAAGGTCAGGAAAGTAATTTCGTACAACGAAGTATTTTTAAATATACCGTATAATGTTTCCCTTTTCTTTAACTGGTACAATATCACTCGCACTACGTGTTGCGGTTTCCTTCTAGATCAAGGAAGTGGCTGCACCGTACACATCTACACCGGAACTGCGACGTTTTTGGGAGCACGATATCCGGCTGGTTCGTGATAAGAATATTTCACGAGATAACAGCTCGCTAGACTCGAGGTGACGAAAATTACACAAGATGTTCGAGTTAAACGGTCAAATTAAAGCAATAAATATTGTTAACGGAACAGAGTCAAGCAAAGAATAGAACAGAGTCAAGTAAAGAATAGTTTTAACTTATGCAGCTTTGTAATTTAATCGTTTAACTCAAGATTGCCTTGCAATTTGCGGTTCGTACAAACACTGAACAAATCTCTCCGTCAGTTTTTACGAAGGTCTAAGCAAAACGAAACAACGCGCGTTAGAACAGACGCTCAACGAGGCGGTGCGCGAGGCGACGGATGACGAAACGTTCCGCGAAGTGCAAAGACTGAGCTACGGCCAACACGGTCCGGAAGAGGTAACTTAAATATCTTAACGATTCTACAACGAATAATAAGTGATAATTTCACAACCAATTAATTCATTTATACATAAATGAACAACTTAATACAAATATTTGCACTGAATATCAATAATTACAGTTCACGCCAAAACTCGGTCGCCACACCATTGGAGGTGCAAGCAACATTATAAACACTGAACACAAAGAGAAAGCTGTAATCGACGGTTTTCATCCACCGGACGGATTAGAAAATTCCGGCAGTACGAACGAGGATTTGGCCGCTCTTGATCGGTTGGTTACGTGCCTTCTTGGACAATCGAGCAACGCCAATTCTGTGAACTTGGATTCTTGGCGCCGTTCCCGTCGAGCAAGTTCACGAGGTTACAGACAATTACGCAGCACGGGTGCCGCTGCCGAGGCAGGCGAAATTGGCTCCAACGTCGACACAACGCCACTTTAACTCCAAAATTCGATAAATAAAAACTGATCCATTGAATTCGTATGCACGTATGTAGGCACAGATGGTGGTCAACCAGCACGGATATTGTATACGTTCCCGGGTATAACACAAATTTGGTTAAAGATATATGGAATTACTGCATTCGATTTATAACAACAGAGATTAAATAATTACGTAGATTCGTGGATCAGATCCTCTTGAGCTGCATTAATCTTGGACCGAAGACGGCTCGGTGCCGAAGTACCGGTCTCCAAAATTACCGATACCCGGTAACACATAGAACTTTTCGTTTATCACAGGATCCAGGGCAGAAGTAACAATTTTAACGCGCGGAAACGCGTAGGCGATTGAATGAACGCCAGATTCCGCCATAAGCAAAGACGCAAGCAACACGTTCTCTTCGGCAACGTCGTGGTCCAGTAAAACTCTGATAGCCATAATCGCAGCAGCACCCGTTGCCACCGTTGCGTCCATTAATATCACTCTATAGTCTTTGATATCCTTGGGTAACCGGAGATAGTAAAGCTGTAAAAAATATGAGTCATGTATGTCAAAATGTTGAGAGCAAACAAAGATTCTAAAATGATATTTACCTCAGGTTCCCCGGTCTGTTGGTTTGTTTGTATAAGTATCTTTCCTATTCTTATGTCTTTGCACACATCCCGAACAGCTTGTTCCATCGTTTCACCAGCACGTAAGATAGAGACGCCACATATCTTATCTGTAGCTCCGCGTTTCCCGTTGTACAATACTCCTTGAGGCGTTTCTACGGTTACGTCCTTTAAACACACCACAATGAGCATAAAAATGAAAGCACTTATTACATTTATATAATGTATTCCTTACCTCGAATGGCAAAAGAGACAAGGCATACTCGATAACTAAACGTATCAGACGTTTAGAATAAAATATAAATTCATCTCTGTACGTTTCCTTGTTCCTTATAAATGTATGCAAACCCTTAATCTGTGGCGTGTCTGGAAGCAAGTAGAGAGAAGATGGTAATGGCTGACCGATAAACGAGTGAGCTAATTTTTCTCTGAGTTTGAAACCCCTCTAGAATCGGAAGTAATAGTAAGTAAACGCAACACACGAAAGCAATGTTTAATAGACAGCTGATTTTACCAATTGAAGTTGGGTATGTACGTGTTGTACAATAAGTTCTATCGCGACTTCGTTTTCTCCACCACGTGGCACAATGATATCTGCGTGTACCATTAGTGGAGCTATATAATAGTAAAAAGCGGGTTGCACCATAGTACTGTACTGCTTTAAAACACCTTCTAAGTCTCGTCCTCTTTGAGATATATCTCTACGTAATCTCCGCGCGAGCCTCACGTCAGCGTCAGTATCAACAAATACCTTCATGTCGCACATCTTAATCAATTAAAGAAAGCAGATCAGTGGTAATTTTGTCTTTTTTTTATTACTGTTGTACCTTACTGAATTTCACACCCACTCCTTCTGCTTCTTTGGCAGTCTGCTTACCTTCAAAACATCGACGTGGTAAAAAGTAAATATTCCCTCAAATATAATAACATTGGCACCATACATTGTTTTCTGTGGAACAAGAAAAAATGAAATGCACACAATGTACATTGCATATGTTTAAAAAATATACTTTTTGATATCAACTTACAGTTCTACTTTCTCTACGATGTGTTACAAAATTATAAATAGGAACTTCCACCATTCTACCTTCTTTCAAACGCTGTAAAGTTGTTCGAAGTAGCTCAAAATCAAAAGCGTCGGGATGATCGAAATTGTATTCGTTACGCGCAGCCATTTCGTGCTGTTTTTCGTTTAATACCTGTACCAGATATTGTTTACAGTATAATCAGCCATTCATCTTTTAAATAATATAGAGAAAAAAACTGTGGTTTTTCATACTTTGTAGAATGAATCCATGCTAAGTAGTGTTACCCATGGTACATCCAAAGATTCTATGATTTTTGTTGCAACTGTAGTTTTACCGGATGCGCTACCTCCACAAATACCTGAAATTAAATTAACAATAACATTAGGCCCTCTTTCAGAAAACAGTATTTATTATAAATATATCACCAACTTATCACAAAAGGCTCCACTTGTTGTCCTGCTGAATTGTACCATGGTGGTCTACCAGCTGTATATATTGTTCTTGTCTTACTTCTAATAATGGACTCTGCAGAGGTTTTCTTGCTGGACTGCGATAAACTGGTAGTACGTTGCCTTCTTGATCTAGGAGATCTCTGAGATCCTATCATAGAACAAAATTTTCAAATTAATGAAAGAATAAATTTCATAGAATTAGAAAATGCAGAAAATTCTACAAGAAATAAAAGAGCACGATGTTTTATGTCGAATAATTTTTACAGATAAATAGGAACAAGAATGGGAAATGGGATAAGGTACTTTTGGAGCTTTTAGCCTTCTTCAAATTACACAACGTCTCTACTTCAGTGCGCCAATTACATCCTGACTGCCAAATACATGTACTCCAAACTGATGGTTCTGTAAATAATTATAGCATGCAATCTACTTAACTTCAAAGATAAATGACAAACATCTAGTTTTCACAGAAATAGACATAACTGATAAAATATTGTACCATTGACGAAAACAATTATCACTGCAAGATTATTTTGAAGATTAATAAAAATAAATATTTATCTTACCCCTCGAAGGTGGTCTCGGAGATTGCGGCGTAGGAGTCGCGATATCAGAACGCTTGTAATATTCAGCCTCTTCACACAGGTCATCGGCCAGAAAAATTTCTCTCTCGTCCAAACAAATTTCTCTATCCTCACTAAATTACGGAGATCCAATATTCTTAGTTGAGGAACGTAGCCGAGAAATATGTTACCACTCACCTGTCAGAACTTGCTGAGCTTGGTGGATCGAAATGTTGCATCTTAGCTGCCATACTCTTGATTATATGCAGAGAAATTTAATGTAAACCCATGCGCGTTTGATTTTTGTATTACGATACGTAGTTAACTCTTTCAACCGCGTGCTTCCATCTAACTGCCGACAAAAACTGCAAACTAAGAAGGCATGTGACGATAATGGCATCACGAAAATGAATCGCCATCTATCTTTCATGTTCCGAAACAAACTTCTCGTAAGTGTTATCGCTAGTGATGGGCATTCGAAATCATTTCTGTCGAAAGTCGAAAGTAATTTAATTCGATGATACTTTCACCGGTTAATTGCAGTATTTCAAATTTTTTAACTCTTCGTTGAACAATTAGATCGTTGAAAATTTCTAAAATTTCAAATACAATCGGCAGGATTCTAGATTTATTTTGTACAGTTGAGATTTTTAGATTTTCCTTACTACCCTTTGCAATTTGCAGATGCATTCGGATGCACACTGTATACTGTGACCAACTAGTTACTCATCAGAGCATCTTTACGGCATGCATATGTAAACAGAAGTAGTGAATATTAAAGAGAATGTAAATATATATTAAAAGCAAACATTTCAATTGCTAATGATACTCTTTATCATTTTTATACTTCATTATGCAAATATTTGAAGTATACTCGTGAATAAATGTTGCGTCCTTTACACCGCAGCTAAAATTTGTTGGACTAACAAATTTGTAAGAGCAAAAATTCTTATGTATTCAATACATTATCACTTTTATATTGGTCGAATTTTCCATTAGACATTTTGCATTATACGGCGTATTAAATATTTTACTCGTTATATAAAAAGTTTGATCAACTCGATATATTATCATCTCTTAAAGTTTTCCTTTTTATAGCTCCATCCGCGGCAATATAACGAGCGTCAAATTAACCAAACTTCATATGAAACTCAAACTCTGCTAATACACCCCACCCGGTTCAAGTCATAGCAACGTATCTTTGTAACAATAAAGAATTAAAGACAATACACATTTATTTTATTTTTTTAAAAATGTGAAAACTTGTACGCGAGATCTAAAACAATGTCCCGTTTGTTCGGCGCTAACGGCGATACTGGCTATTGACATAACAATTACATTTCTTGAACGCTAAAAGAAAAACATATTGCGACGTAGATGTTATTTTAACGCATATCGATACAGAGCGACTAGAATATAATTATATATAAGAATCAATAAGATCAAATCGATAAAATAAGCAATAACTTTATACATGTATCGCATAGAGTATCCGGATAATTTAAAATTATTATTGCAGTGGTAGTGACCTCCTGTGGTAGATGGAATATTTGCAATTGAACCCGGCATAGTTTTGTGATTGTCATTAATTAGAATGAGGAAACGGGCTTAACAGGAGTGATTGTTTGGCTGATATTATGACGTACAGTTTTGTCAGAAGCTGAAGTGCAAAGTTACCCCGATGCTTCTGCGTGTTGCTCTGTTGTGTGACGTCGTATTGTCTTTTAATAGTCAGCCCCTGTGACCGGTTTTTCCGTCGTTAACGAGGCATCGTTGTACGTCGAGACGCGCCCTCGTCCGACCTTGAAACCTATAATCGTTCATAACGTTCGATGTTCGAAACATCGTCTGGAAAAACTGTTAATCGTGCTCCACAGGTTCGACTCTTTTTGTTTTCCTCGGCGCCTCGTTAACGCGAAGCAACAGTGAAATGGCGAAAAAGACGTACGATCTATTGTTCAAGTTATTACTCATCGGTGATTCCGGAGTCGGCAAAACATGTATATTGTTTAGATTTTCAGATGATGCTTTTTCAACAACATTTATTTCTACCATAGGTAAGAACTCCGTTATGGATAATCGTGATTTTTAATATCATTGTGTTTCCTCTAAATGAATCATTCGACATTACGGATTTATTTCGGTACAGTAGGTTATGGTTAAAGAATTTATAACGTTGTGAAATAAAGTTTGTGAAATGTTATTTGACGTACGAAAAATAATTTGAACTTAAGAAGGTGTTTCTTTGTATCGAATTCGTAACCATGGAGAAAGTGTACCTGCGAAATAATTTGTTGTCAACATTGTTGTTAAAATTGAATGTTTTATGTGTGTAAATATCAGTATACTGTGAAGTGTATTATATGAATAAATTGTATGCTTTTTGTCGCTCAGGTATCGATTTTAAAATCAAGACAGTGGAATTAAGAGGAAAGAAAATCAAGTTACAGATATGGTAAGTTATGAATTATTAAATTTTTCTAAACAGCCCTTAATCTATACATTTACAGGGATACAGCTGGTCAAGAAAGATTTCATACTATCACTACGTCATATTACAGAGGTGCAATGGGTATTATGCTTGTTTATGATATTACTAATGAGAAAACATTTGAAAATATTGTCAAATGGTTGAGAAATATTGATGAGGCAAGTATATCTATAAACTGTTTTTGATCAAATAAAGATACGAGTGCTTGAATTTTATTTTCTGGACATTTAACTTTTAGCATGCAAATGAAGATGTAGAAAAAATGATATTGGGAAACAAAAGTGATATGGAAGATAGACGTGTTGTTAGCACAGAAAGAGGAGAAGCGGTAAAGTAGTTAAAATTAAAATTTTATAAGATTTGTAACTGCTCCAAGTTAATAACTTGCATATCACCTTTAGATAGCAAGAGAGCACGGTATTAGATTTATGGAAACATCAGCAAAAGCAAACATCAACATCGATCGTGCGTTTAGTGAATTAGCAGAAGCTATATTGGAAAAAACACATGGAAAGGAACCACAAGATGCTCCAGATAGAGTAACAGTTGATCGAAGGGTGGAAAGAAACTCGAATCGGTGCTGCTAATTTTATATTATTTATTTTAATGGCGCATAATAATAAACTATATATCAGCTCATGCCACGCAAAATAGATTTGTGGATAGATTTAGAGCATAATTTAAAGCATAATAATATAATTAAACTCTTTGCAACACTGCCTAATCAAATTCGATCGAACTTATTTGACGATAATTCTTATAAAAAGACATCTAAATTTAATTTTAAATATAAAAGTGTAACTACAGTTTGAAAGTGAAGTTTTTTAATTATACTTGGGTTTCTAAGGGTGGGTTATAAATGCTGTTTGTCACATATATGATTGTACTTATAAGTGCTGTTTGTCACATATATGATTGTACTTATAAATGTGTCTGTTGCATGTATACAAACATTAAAGCTCCATCACAGCTTTTATAATAAAACACAATGAATCAATAATATACACTGTTGATGGAGCTTTGTTTCTATATAAAATTCTATGCGTTGTTGCACGAACAAAGTCAACTAGAAACAATTTATTTGTTATGAGGCTGCAATTTGTTACCATAATGAGAAGAGTGAGAATGAATGTGGGCTTTTTAATCTTTAAAATCTATGTGAACATTGAATGCTTTTTCATACAGACATTGCACTACATATGCTTATTTAAATCTTAAGTTAAAATTTGAAAGCTGAAGACCAAGAGCTTTTATCCTATTTGTGTAAAACTAATTTACTACAAATATAAACATTCACGATTTCGAGATAACTGTTTTTTATTTTCCTCTGCAATAAACAATATAAAGTATATAAAATATTCACGAAGAAATGATTTTATAATACAATCACTTGCGTGGAGTTAACACAAATCTCGTGTTGACTTGTGTTAAAACATTTTTTGTAGTGTATTGCGTGTATTTGTCTTACAATATATCGTCATAAACATAATGTATATTACAATGTATTAAATAAAACAAATTTTTAGAACTAGGAATTCAAATATTAATCGATATTTTACAATATTTCTTTTATTATGTAAATATGATTTAATAACATATGCTGCCAGAAGACACAACAGATAAATATGCATGTATACATTTTTGCAATAATACGAAATTTTAGTAACATTCAAACATTACAATACTAAATCTAATATATTGACTTTAATATTATTAAAATGTATTCATATTACATGAATCCATATGTTTTGCTGTATATATATAACAATTTTTGTATTATGACAAATGTACAGAACGCAAAAACCTTCTTCAGAAAATAAATATTACTTCTTTAAGTAAATTCAATGAAAATGAATATAATACTTTCTTCCATTGAAAAGATGAAACGAATAATTATATGTTTATAAGAAATTTTTTGTTGTATGCATGTACATTCGCATTTATGTCCTTAATATTAACGATCAGTGTACGTTCCTTAACGAAGATAGGAATTACTTTCCTTGACTTACAAGATTAGAAGTCGAACATTAAAACAATTTCTGTGTTCACTATATCTTGAAAAATTGTGTAAAAGCTATTATTTCATAGAAACAAATTCTTTTCTGCCAATACCGCCTCTTTTATATCTCTAATTACTTTTTATTTGCAATGAACTCTCTATGTACAGAGGGAGCCAAAACAAAGTAACAAAAAGTAAAAGCATTATGCATTAGAGATTAATTTAACGACATAGTGATTAATACTACTTAATCTCGTGAGACACCAATAATCGTCAAAATGTAAATGAAAATATTAATAACATCTATGTAGAGACTTAACGCTGCAAAAATATACTCTTCCGGAGAAATAGAATATTTATGTTTACCACCAAGCATCAATTGTGTATCATAGACAAGATAAACAGAGAAAATTAGAGCTCCAAGTGACGCATACACTAAGGTTATAATCTTACCATGCCAGAAAATCGTAATTATTCCAAAAAGTATGAAAATAAACAACGCAACAAACAGAATACTGTGAAGACCGGTGAAGTCGATTTTCGTTTGAAACGCAAATATTGTCAATGCGAGGCAAACAGCAGCAGTAATTCCAGCAGCCAATAGTACCTGCAAATATTTTTATTTATTATTTCACCGGTCAAAAGACATAAACAAGATGAGCCGAAAACGGTAATGCAATTAGTAGACAAGAAAAGTATAAAAGGAGAAACAGGCCGGCACGCAACATTATTATTATATATATTCGACGCTCACTCGAGATATTCGGAGCTCGGGTTTCGGATGAGTCATATTGCGAGATCTTTCTATTGCGACAAGCGTATTCATTGTAAAGTAGTGTAGTGATCAAGAAATAAAGTTTTTTTTTTTTTAAAACACAAACTGAGTACTTCCCCGCGTAACAATTAGTATAATTGTACAATTAAGTATCTAAATCATCAATTAATATACATGTATAATATTTGTTTTTCTAATATTTTACCTCTTCAGACTTATACGTTGAAGCAGCAGTGGCTAACAGAAAACCTTCTGCTATTGTAAATAAGAACAAAAATATGAAATTCATAGGAGCTTTTCGTCTGACACTGGTGCAGCAAGCCATACATATAATTAGAACAATAGTTGCTACAAAACAAATCCAAAACATTTCTGGATGGGCCATTGCCCATTTCTGAGTTGGACGATGGTAAAGGAATAATGCTATCAGCCCTACTGTAATCAGAAGCTGACACATTAGGATACTGTATACTTTCCTGAAAAAAAGAGAGAAAAACGTTACAGATGTAACTGTATAATGTTATCAATATACTGTGTATGTTCATGCACTTGCAATATATCTAAATCTGCAAAGTACACATAAATCATACAATCTATAAAACGTAAATCTTTACTTTGATGACATCAATATATCATAAACCTCTAATTATAATACAAACCTAATAAATCCATTTCTGATGGTTTTGTCAGTGAACTCAAATCCTTTGACTTCACCTGACACAGTATCATCTGCATAGTTTGTCCCATACATGGCTGCTTGTGGTCCTGGACCAAATATTGGACCAGGAGGTGGAGCTTGTCCGTAAGGAGGAGCACCTGGAGGCACAAAACCAGGACCTATGAAAAAAATAAATAACATGTTACAATTATATGTTCTATACATTAATTAAGATGTCAAAATTTTAAATCTGAATTAACCTGGTGGTTGATTTCCGCCGTAAGCTGGTGGATATCCTGGATTATATGGATCTTGTTGAGGTGGATATCCGGGTTGAGGATAACCTGCACAAATGAATTGTATTTATATAAAATATGTTCTAATGACAGTTTCATTCTAATTTAAGCATTAATTCTCATGAAATTCTGTGCTTTAATAACAGCCACTAAATGGTGGTGCACAATTACAAAAAGAATAAAAACAATGTGTCTATATTAATTTAATACAATAAGTAAAATTTTACTGGCCATATGTATATATATATATATATATGTTCTTTATACATATTTGAATGCATGTTTGAGGACATATATACATATATACATTTCACAGTCAAAGTATTAAAATACATATATATTAACTCCTTTCACAAATATGCAAATGGTTAAAATTTTCTAATGATTATTAATGATTATAAATTATGATTAATGGGTGGATGTTTCGTGGATTAGATCGATGATTGCCACTTGAAACAAGCATCACGATAGTTGAAGTTTGCTAAACGTTCTGTATATTAATAATGTAAGTAACATGTAACAATAAAAAATATTTATAATTTAGAAAAAGATCAGAACCTTGTTGCCCTGGATAAAATCCTGCACCAGGTGTACTCTGCCAAGTTGCCATCTTTCGGTTTTTGTTTTAACTAAAAAAGAATATATTATTATCATAAAGCACTCTTGCATATTGAAACATCAGTGGAACGCCAGTGCACGAATGTGTCAGCAACCTTTAAGTGGAATATATAAAATAAATGAAAGAAAAATATATTTTTCACTATGTATCATACTATTTTATTAAAATAATTAAAAACAGTTACCATTTCAAATATAATTATATTAAAAACATCTACAAAAATAACACATGCATAATGCATTTAATATTTAACTTGCTTTAAACTGAAATATCAAACATAAAATATATTATAAAAGTTACAATATAAATTAATAATTTAATACAACTTCTATAACAAAACAAACATCAAAAGTTAATAAATATATTATTACTTTAAATGTTATTACTGTTTAGTCTTTCAAATAATACAAATAATAAATGTCTTAAAAATAAAACATTGAATATCAAATTGAATGACATAAATATAAACAACACAACATTACTCACTACTATTAAACTTTCACTACATTAGGTTAAGACTATAATATTATTTCAGAATTATTGTTACACATGGCAGATAATACAAAGAAGATATCTGAAATGGTCAGTTTTTATATTCGCAGATTCAAATAAGCATCATGAGTTATATAAGTATAAACATAATTAACCTGTGTTAATTGTTCAAAATATTATAGTCAGCTGAAAATAACGTTACAGACACTAGTTAATAATTACCACTACATTTACGATTTATGTACGATTTTACAATCACATCGGTGTCGTAATATGGCGTCACTGTTAAAAAAAAATATTTTCTTATTAAAAATATGGACATACACCCATATACCTATGCCTAAATTAAATCTCTATTTTATAAGCAAGAAGAGTAACAAAAATTAATCGATTTGCGTTAAACGCAACTTAAACGATCTCGATGTATACTACTCGATAACTAATCACGATATTTTTTCATTTTTAATCTAAATTAAGATTCACCGGCGAATTTTAGTGCAATATAAAATTAAATGCAGTAGTCCGTTAGTAGTGACAATTTTTTTCAGTTTGTACACACAGATTGTCCCTACCAATTACTTAAGTGTGCCATAATCTATATATCTAATTCAACGGTGACGAAACGCGAATTATTGAGAAATGAGAGATAACACATCTGGAAAATTGTTTCTGATCAGAACTGACGGTCCTCCTTTTTCCTGTATTGTGTCACAAATGCAAGGGCAGGAATCATCTCACGTGAAAACATACGAAACTGCATATTGCATGCTGCACGACTATAGTTCTTATCTTTCCCCCCAAAAAGTAATGCAAGTTAGAGAAATACCGTTAATTCTTATCTAAAAGTTCTGTTTCCCCATATCAGACCTGTAATATAAGTTTGTCTTTGAGCTGTTATCTTGCTGAATCATAACCTTTAAAATACACAGTGATAAACCATATGACTATATATACCAGAAAACGCACATTATAATTTATTTGAATGACTCCACTCGATCTTGCGTACGTTTTAAAAATAGGATACGTACTCTAAAAATTAGATCATTCTAAGTGACATTTCCCAATTAGAATATAGTATCTCAAACTTTTATACACTAATATTCACTTCTGAACACGGTCATTTTTTGTCATCTAGTCACATGCAATTTTCCAAAATTTCTACATCCGGAAGATCACACTTTAGCAATCGAAGTAGGGACAATATTTTGTGTTGTTTGTTTTCATCTCAGACTAAAATGCCGGTGTAATCTGTTAGCAACTACTTGTAGTATAACATTATGAAACATTGTCGCAACGTAAAAATAGTAATGTTTCCTTGTATTACGAACAGTCAACTGACAGTTTTCAAGGACACCGATACCTCGAAGAAAATATACTTACCGACAATAATATTTCAAAAACGTTGTTTACACTTTTCTAAACAATATTAACCGGAAAACGTAATAATAATACACGTCAACTTATGCGTCATGCGCACTTTCTAGAAACGGTTACAATCGATAAGAACATTCGTGCGCCGAATATAAGTTAAAATTATTCACCTCTTTAAAAGGACGTTTAAGATCCTTATACAGAAAATTGGTCGTATCTGCTTGATGTGATAATTAGATCAACGAGTCTATGCTATTAATCACGTTCACTTGGTCGTGCAAAATGTACGTGTTCCGTATAGTAAGAAGACGTCACATTAACTGTTCCCCACTTTTCAACCTTCGAACTGAATCTGCTACGAGCAACTGATATGAAGTAGGTTGAATATTGGAAAACGAGACCTCAACACAATTTGCGCTTGCGTGATATCTTATATACTTTTGCTGTTTACTGTTAAGTACCATCTATCTATATGGGTGTATTTGGTTTCCTAGAATTTTGATATATAATCTTCTTAAAACCTCTTCCTCATCTAGCAGATGATGGCATAAAAAACCAGTTTTTAATTGGTTATAATTTGATGGATGAATATAATTTTCATGAGGATGCGCGCCAACGGTTACGCTTTCTTATAACACAATATAAATTGTTGGTGAAAGGATGAAAAACAGAAAAATGTAAAAACATTTTTTAATTATCATTAATTTGATAAAATATAATCTTTTCTGATTACTCATATTGATAATGATATGATTGTAAAAAACATTTATTGAGAATAATGAATTAGTCTTTTTTTCTGAAAAATATTGTTTATAAGTAAAATAAAGAAATAACAATTAATGAACGACCTCAAAACGTTTTCTACTTTGCGCATGTAAAATAATTTTCACATATGTGAACTGTGTCATATGTGAATATTGAGTCAAACAATATTTAATCATAAAACGTTCTTGATATTTAGCCTGTCTTTATTTTTATTGATTAAGAGTTATAAATAATTGAAGAAATACCACAGACAAAGTATAGCATAAATCCATGCGGGCGGTTATTGTTCATGTCACGATCTGAAATACCGACGTTACTGAAATCCTCTAATTTGAATTCGCCGAAATTCCCTCCTTGAAGGCCCCTTGGATTTTTTGAAATTTTAAATACTCAATCTGTGGAGTCATTCTAAAATTGATTAAGATATTTAGAAAATCATTCAAATAAAATTGTGGTCACGATCAAGAAAGAAGCATGCAAATGAAATATTCACAATTATATAATTCAATAACAGTTCAGTGACTAAGATTCTGTTTCTGACTTCGTCCGCAATATATTCGAGAGGGCGTTAGACAAAGCACAATTTTTCAATTTCAATGCATTTCAATTACCGACTGGTACCAAACTACCTGTAAGTAGCAGTTCCTACCAGTGGTTACCGACGGTTTCTCTCTCGCAAAATAAAAATCAAATTCACATAAAAAAATAACGATAAAAGACACAAAAGGGTATAGGAGAAGGAAACAATTTCATGATACGACTAAGTCTGCGTATGAAAAATTTTTTATTGAAAAATGTTCTTTCACGCTACAACGTCAGTATACCTTCGTCTATTTAACGTTATAACAGTACAAAAATTGCATTTTTACAAGTTATCCAGCTTACGTAACTAAAATATCCCAGTTAGCAATCTGACAATTCAAAAGCTACGTCTCTTAATAACAGAAGGCGCTGTGTAGCAGAGGCATTCTTTGGCGACAACGCAATATACTCTCAATCCATTCTTTTCTTTTTTCGACGAAAATTCGATGGACATTTTAATCCACGCAACAATTACCTATCATCAAACTCAGCTTGTCAAAATCACTCTTTACGTTCGCGAAAATTCTGTCTCGCTTTTATCCGAATCAAGTGAAATACATTTCGTGTATTAATAAGCAATTCGCGGTTGTTTCACAACCGCATTGTCGAGATATTCTAAAATGTTTCACTCAAGAGATAACTTAAAAATGTCCAAAGAATGGGAAATATTAATAAGATTAAATCGTAAATGTTCCTTACTGATACAAAAAAATCTAGGTTAGAGACACCAGCATGAATTTACGTGCACCTTCGTTATTTCACATTCGAGTTACACACAGTATTCACGTTTGCCAACCAAAGCACGCCTTAAACCCTAATCCAGACCCACCATCATCCTAGATGACAATTTGTATCTCAAATTTTTCATTGAAAAAAATTTAAAAGCATCACGTACGACTCGTGTCATTTTTGCACATTAGACAGGTCTGGACCAGGCTTCGGAAAGAGCAGGAAAGCTCTCCCTCCTTTTGGGGAAATGGAGGCAAGTACCACACACACGATTACACAGATTTTCGTTTTCACTTTTCTAGCTGCTTCTGTTTCTTCGCTTTTACAAAAACATACCTAATCAACTTCCTAGTTTATCTCCTAGCTCGACGAAAAAAAGCAAATCAGTCGACGGATCACCGTTTGTTGCTACCTGGGCTTACATATCGTCAATGACGCTTTCGGCCGGAAACTTGCTTTGATACACGTCGCTGGCCGACATATTTTTCCTTTTCTTAACACGTTAAATGCCGCAATGGAAACGGACGTATGTAGTACGGCGTGCTATATTTTAGAGCAGCATTTCATGACTTCTGTTATCTCCACTAGGGATGCACCATAGATTCTATACGTTAATATGTTGACGTCCTAAATTGACACCATATTTGTCACGGTTTGACCAAGTTAGCTCCATAGTGGAAATACTTAGGGTGTTGTTCACAGCAACCAGTAATGCAACTCTACATTTGCAATTATTCAAATTCACTTTTTAACTTAATGGTGGCACATTTTGTAAAACTTGCAAGTTAACATTTTTCTTTATACTTAAAAATTTGATAATCTTAGTACTGCAAAATTTTTTACCTGCAATTACATGATAGATTAGACATAATATATACAATTCAGAAATTAAAGCTCTCCTTGTGTAAATAAAATAATATTACCGAAAATCTGTTTTACCGTCATGGCGACCACCACTGGCCGTTATGGCATTCAACGTGTTAACGTTCCTTCGAATTACTACACATTTCACGCTACTCCAAATACACGACGCACATAGATACTTGCGTTGAAAAGTGGTTGTCGAAACACAAGCATCCGGCCAAAGAGAATATCTTATATGCTATAGCAGCGTTCTAACAACTTTACTCGTCCGTCGTGGTACAAATTCTTCTCTAAAGCGGATTTAAAGCAAACACAACGAATGGATAAGTTCTGAATCGTGGATATAACTCGACTGAATTTATTATTCTATAGAAACTTGAAACGACACGCGTCCTTCGTGAACTATCCTTTTGAAGGTGTTCTGAATTCATTCAACATTCTATTATACATTTCAAGAATTTTATCGATTCGTTCAGTTTCATGATTATAATACAAATTCATTAAAATTCATATAAATACCGTTATTTCCATGATTGATTTATAAACAGACGTGGGCATTAAGTAGTCTGTTATTTACATCCTGCTTATTGTACGCTTTAAGTATGTAGCAAAATATCAATTAAATTAGAATAAATTTAACTACGAATTCCATAATTTTTACCTTTCAATCTGTAATAAACTTTACAAATCACAGTGGACTCTCGTTACATTGCCATGTTTACGAGCTGTCACGTCCATGAGCGACGCTCTCTGCTATCGTTGATGTGCACTACTGATCCCCCACTACAAGACGCATGCACACCGGTGGTTCTCCCACCACCGTGACGCATGCGCACTAGCGGTTCATTCGCTGTCATAGCGCGTACATATCAAACTAATGGTTTTTAGGAAAAAACTTTTGGCAATGTAACAAGAGTCTTAAATGACGCAATGTTAATACCATCACTTCTTTGAGCTCTGATCTCGCCAAAGATAGGGACGTTATCTAAACTATCGATAAACTGCACCTATACAGTGATGAGTAGTCACATCAATTTGAAAATTTGAAATTATGTTCCTAAATTTTCAAATTACCATTTTCCTAAATTTCTAAATTTAGAAATCTGATATCTCCATGACTAACAATGTCAGACAACCGATCTAAATACAATCACATGAAAAAATCTTCAAAAGGACAGTTTGCGCGCCAATTTCAAAAATTTCACCGGTAACTTATTACTTAAACGATCTCTTATCCATTCGATGCCAAATCGCAATATAAGCAGTGTTTCTGCCGAAAGCCACCGATACCACTCCGCCGAAATTGTTTCTCGATTCAATCTAAATACGGACTCTCGTTATATTGCCGCCTTTAGACTTCTGCGCACACCGGTAGTTTCTTCTCATCCTAGAACCCGAGATCCATGTAAATCATATCAAATGAGAAATTCTTTCAGCAAAGTAGTTTTCTACTGCACCTTTGTCCGCGGCAATATAACGAGAGTCTTTCGTAATTATCGACTCGAAACACTTTTCAGCGGATATAACCACAGTGTAAGTACAACGTTTCTTTCGGGTCATACATGATCTTACTTCGAATTAGCAACATTCATTTTCTTTCAGCGGCCGTCGATCTTTGGCAGAATCACGCTCCCGTTACGCTCTTCTTTGTTCTTTTATCTTTGCTACACGTTCGTTTCATATGCGGATAATATCTCTTTGCGTTTCTTTAGTTCAGGTCCTGCCTTTTTTTTAAAATCGATCGCATATTTATTTAGATACTGCGTTTCAGTACGAAATAATTCTACGTTGCACGAATTTCCTGAAGTCGTTTGGAAGCAGTCTTTCAACTTATTTTTTTTTGTTTTTTCTTTTTTTGCATGCGTGACGTAAAACTGTTCGTCGTACATATTTTTTTACTCCGTCTACTTTCCTCCTTTTCTCTCTTTCTACCCTTTTATTTCGTTCGGTTCTTTTTCGATCGCGCACGTTTTCCATTTCCCTTGTTTCTTGCGTTAATCGCGCGAAATTAATGTACAAATAACGTCTGTACACATTTAAAAGTGGTAGAAATTAGAAATTGTATTTGTTTGACTAGCTTTTGACCGTCTCTCTTGAAATTACTTGTGTGTGTACAAAAACATTCTTGGGATTCTAGTCGAACAATGTACTGTACGTGTTTTTTATGTACGTATGAGTGTGCACCAGAGATGAGCATTAGGGCAGTCTCAGGGCGTTGTGACGTGTAGTAACGTAAAAGAGATTTATAAAAAGAAATGTGACCTTTCGAGAATTTCAACTCGCACGCGAAAAGAAGGTCTATAAGAACCTAATCTATAACCCTTTCGTTACGGTGACTTTTAATAAAACAATCTTTATAAGTACAATAAAGTTCTTTCAATTTTACACATAAGATTTCATTTAAAAATTTTAGCTGTTTTTTCTCATTTAACAAACGCATAGAATGACTATAATTACCTATAGCACATATACAGATATTTTAATAATAGATAACTGTAGTCATTCTCGGTAACGAAAGAGTTAACTAGCTCCAGTCTTTTTCTCTAAAAGTTTTAACATTTAATGAAAACCCGTCTGGGTCCAGTCAAAACGTTACAAAGACGGTTGTCAGTAGATTAAGTAGACATAAAAAGTTTTAAACTCAAATTGTCTTATTAACAAAAGATAATTTGATTGTGGAGTTAACACGTTCGCTGCTCACGCGCCTGGCGCGCCACATAGACTCCTCAAGAGTGGAGTTTCTGAGGTCTACGAGTCTGACGTTGTTCCAGACAGTATAAAAGCAGTCTGAATAATAGATCTGCATTGCCAGGACCTGTGGTTCGATTCGCAAGGAGTGACCTTCGGTCACACAAATCAATAGTCCGCATTCTAGTTCATGATTTTGTTAGCGAGCGTGTCTCCAACAATACACCGTCCTTGTTCAGATTACAAATTATCACATTATTCTTAACAAGCACCCTAATGCCTAACGCCAGTACACACTTGTTTGTTCCTAATGTGCATGAACACGAGTGAATGTGTGAGCAATACGGATGTGCGGGTACCCGAGATTACGATCTCGGATCGCTTCGGAAAAGATCGGATCGGAGAGAAACCCGAAAGTATCTTTCTACCGGTATTCGAATACCCGATCTAAATTCTAGTGGTATTTGAACGAGTGGTACTCGAGTATTGAGACACTCTGTATAACTAAAACATACTTTACAACGTAGGAAGATACATTTGGATCTCTGTTCGGTTCCACGTCTCTGAAGCTGACCCGAAGGATATACAGGATAAGTCAATAAGTAATACATAAAATAACTCATTGATTATTTAAAAAATACTTTAAACAAAATCTGTAGCATTTTAAAAAGAGATACAATTTGTCTGACATATGAAACTAAATATTTTATTTCAGTTTGAAGATCAACTTATTAATTTCCTGATTGATTACTGAAACACCCTGTATATCCGTAAGACGCATATGTACGTAAAATTTGATCGGCTCTAACTGCAAAATGCATCCTTTTCTTATCGGCAGTGCAGCCAACGGGCTACCAGCAAACATCCTTAGTGAGCAAGCGCCTGCGTGCATACTCGTGCACGTGTATGCCATACAAATGTGTGTGTATGTTCATGTTTGTCGCGATGTAGAAAAAAGGTGGAACAAATAATCACCGCAAAACATCGTATTCCGATCGTTCTATCTATATTCGTCGTGTAAACAAATTCTTCTCGCTCGAACAGGCTAATTAATTAGTCGAAAGATCACCGCACGCCATTACGTAAATTTATCGTCCCAGTATGATTATTATAATCGTTAGAATAAATCGTTACAACCTAGATACAACTAGCAATTACTCTCGTAATTAACACGATACCGCACTCTCTCTCTTTCTCTCTCTCGCACGCACTCTCTCACTCATTTTCGCTAATTCTTAATATTTTGACAGGTTTTTTTCCTTCCGCAGTCTTCCAATTGTTTTTCATTCACGCGGCCGTGTAGCTCTCTCGTTCTAATACACGAATGCAAAACGTCCAAAATTCATCGCTCACGGCTCTCACGGGCGCGTGAATTGTTCAGTCTTTCGTTTGTATATATCATTTTTTTTTTGTCGTTTATTTCTTTGTTTCGCGTGTTATCGATACGTTATCGGTTTATCGCTAATACTAGATTTAATTACGAAAATTTAACCTTCTTCGTTTTACCACGTTTTCCCTAACTTCTCTCTTTTCCCTATCATCTTGCACGAAAAAATATTATGCTACGTTTAAAAGATGCTTAATAAGTGCATATGTATATTTCAGAGTAGTATGATGTATGCTTATAATTTAAAGCCACAGATTTCGATGTCGCGTCATAAAAGTACGACGCAAGTTTACCGCGTTTTTTCCACCCTCTTTGTATCTCGGCGTGTTTTCACTACGTGTATATAGTAATTAGTCTTATACCCCTCTTTTTATGCATTTGCTCGATACACCCTTTAAGGCCTTTAAAATCCGTTATTGTATAATTTCTGAGGGCGCGGGTACCCGGCATTACGGGCGACATTCGGCAAAACTCGTCTGGGAACCTGATGAAAGATTTTAGCGAGAATCAAAATTTTCCGCTAGTCACACAGCGTTGCTATCGTTTCAACTCATATAAAATTGTAACAAAAATAATTTCAAGAAATAAGACTCCAAGAAGACTCAAGAATTTAAAGATACATTGATATTAGAGTCCATTTAGGGACATAGTTATTTAGAGATATAATCTAGGGAGATCTAGGACCTCCACAATAACATTTCAAGCACAACAGGTTCCTCTCCCGAATTTTACCGAATCGTATCGGGTTACCCGCACCCCCCTCGTCTTTCATTTTTTTTTATTTTTCCCATTTCTCACTCGTTGCATATGAGTATAAAAAATCACGAGATCTGTGCGCAAACTACGAAGCATACACACCACAATGTGCTTTCATTTCCGAGCAATAGCAGAGGCGAATTTAAAACGTGTTACGGTAGTGTTCTTCATTCTTTTCAACGCATATAACGAAGCGTGACGAATCGTTCTTTTTAAGTATGCCTTTTCTTCTCTAAGAAGAATTACAGTAATAATACCGCGACAGTGGAGATAGTATAATTAGTAGTATTACAATTACTGATAGTAGTAATAGTGTGGTGCTACTAGTAGTATAGTGGTAATAGTAGATAGCATAGTAGCGGATGGTGATAGTAGAAGCAGCGGTAACGATTAAGGGTCAAAAGTGTAGTAACCGGGTGTCAAAGCATACATGTTAGTCGTTCTAAAAAAACAAATAGCAGTGGTAGTAAGAGTACGCGGTAATTATAACGACGATCAGAATAATATCGTGAACAGCGATAAGGATACTTATAGTGGTAAAACCTATCGATGGGAACAATACGAATGGTGGAGACAGAAAGTATGATAGGGATGTGCGAGTGATTTAATGTATCCAAGTTGTCGGTTCGAGTAACTCAGGCGGAGACGCGAATCACATTCACACGATCGTAGGTGTGCAAACTTCGGTGAAGATCTTTAACTATCTTTATACTTTCAAAATTTGTCACGAAGCAAAAATACTACGACCGTCTCACATATACTTCAGAATAACTATTAAAAATATCACAAAATATTCTGAAAATAAATTGCTCCAGGAAAATCAGTTTCAGGTTGACTATAAATTGCAATATAAAAATATCAAAATTTCCTCTTCTTTTATAAACAATTCACAGTGACTTCTTAATATTACACTGAATCTGAAACCCTTCGATCTTTTAAATTTCTGGATACTTGTTATATTATACTTTATAGCCCAATTGAAACTGACTTAACTTTTCATACAGATATATCAAATATTTCGAGGAATATATTTTGTGTATTTTAAGACGATAGCGTCGTGCGGTAAGCGGAAACTTTCTTCGCTACGGATTTAGTCTCACCATTTTTGACCAGATTTTTTACGACTATGCTCGATATTACCCGACTCGAACCTCGCACCTGCACATCCCTAAGTGATAGTAATAGCAACAGCGGCGGTGGTGATAAGAGTAGAATGAAAAATAATAATATAATAATAATAATAATGTTAAAAAGAAGTAAAATCAGTCAGTTCATTAAAATGAATTACATTACATTAGTATAATGTGTCCTGGCGCTTAAAATCAGACGAATTCCATTTCCCGAAATGGATAACACGAAAAATAATATTGCAAACATCGCACGATAATAATGGTGTACCTTTTTCATCCCCCTTTTTTTCTAATATACGTTATATGATTTTTTTTTTATCCGCTTCCCATAAAATTCTATCATACGTGTATACATATATATTCTTTATATAATACATTTATATAGATGCAGCAAATAGTTAAGGAAAGAATCTATCTTCCTAATAGCATTTGGCTTGCCAAATTCTGTCAGTTTCATTAAATAGTATATAATTGCATCGGATATAATAAAAAATATTATTTTTTTTGTTGTTTTTCCCTTCACGAATGTCATACAGACGTCGCGAACCGAGTTTCCTTGGTAATGTCTCAAATGTCGGACATTTTTCATTTGGTAGGGCTATTAAAGCGTGAGAATGTGTGTACGTGAATACGTACAACTGTCAGCACTATCATAGCTGTCGAACTCTTCATTCGCAAGATCTACGAAAGTCAGTCTTGCCTTCGGCTTTAAAAAACGGAGCTCAGACACACGCGCATTGTATATGTGTGTATGTATATTTGTGTGTCGCTTTAGAAATTTTTTCTTTTCATTTGTTTCTTTTTAAGAGGACTTACTCTGTGTAGATCCAGTCAACAAAAGTGAATTTTATTAGGCCTCACCGAAACCTCCGATAGCTTGCTCCGTCATTCTTAAACAAAGAGATTCGAGACGAGAGTTGATCTCTGGTTCTGTCGTTTCAGATGTGTTGTTACCGCTTTGACTGAGAAAATGATCCCTCGGTGCGCTATATGTACGTTGTAACGTCCTTTGTAATTGCTACGATACGAATAAATATTATTGTAGAGGCTTCTGTTTTCCCAAACGAGACTACCGTTATACTGGATGTGTATTCAGGTGATTGACTTTGTCAGTCCAGTACAAGAATAGCCTCGGTCACATCTGAATATATATTAATTTTAGAGAATACATACCTGTAAACTAGATTCTTGTAAACTAGGTCGTTTCTCGGTTACATGGACCGGACGTAAAGTATTCTGATTTACACTTTGGTTCTGATTATTTTGTAAATACGGAGTAGATATACTATTTCTGTGAGTGCTAACCACAAAAGAATTGCTTTGCGGATGTGTATTATGAATATGTCCTAGGTTTAAACTTGGCTTTCTATTGTGCTGTTGAGGATTACAGTACCTCCTGTTATTATATCCATAATTATGTTGCCATCTGAAATTACAGTTTCATCAAGGTTAATTATTTATCTAATTATTTCCCCTGTAATTTTATTTGTTACAGCGGAGTCTCGATACGTGGCCCTATAGGGGCGAAAGATATTGCGGAAGTCTATGAGAAGAATTCTATCAGAACTCTATCTTAAAGGAGCCATAATAACGAAACTGCACTGTAACACTGCAAAGAAGAAATAGAAACTATTCTGTTGTTTTCTTTCTTACTTTGGAGCTGGTCGTGGATTTCCAAGTCTGCTACGCCATTGTTGTACCTTTTCTTTTTGATTTGGAGTAAAGCAATCATGCTGCAATATTTTCTCTAATATGTTAATACAAGCGCACAAAATACCGTCATCCACGCTATCCAATGCCAATCTGCTACACACTAAGAAATGAACAGAACACGATGTGTTATAGTTTTTGCAAATATGTATACTGTGTTTATGAACATGCTGACAAAAATGTACTCACATTTACCAAGAACCTTAGTAAACTGCGCAGGTATGTCTTGAGGATCATTTTCCTGGCTTGGTTTCATAGGTGTGGCTAAGATTGTTTTTAATTCGTCGATTGTATTGACCAGTACTGTTGGCCCTTGTAAAAATGACGCTGACTGTGTGTTATCACGTGTTGGTTGTAATAAATCTTTCTCTAAATTTAAAAGCGTCGTATAGCGTTGTTGCAACTTAGCAATAGATAAGGCCAATTTGTGTCTGGCTCCTTTTGTTACACCCTGTTCTGCTAACTGTTCTTCTGTCAATTGTAGCATTTCTTCGTAACTGAGAGTAACAAATAGATAACTATATTTATGAAGACGTAAAGTTTTAAGCCATGATGGAACATCTGTGAAAAGATGTGAAATTTTTTATTATCTTTTCTCGGTAAATATATATAACTTGGATTTATAAAATTATATATACACGTACCTCTCATACCACTAGCAAGTGATCGGTTAGATGTTTCGTCCAAACGTCCTTCACTACCGCTACTTGCACAAGAGCTTTGTGGACTCAATGGGCCTAATCCAATAAGATTGCCTGTTTAGAAACCAACAATTACTCAAGACAAAATAAAAGTATAATCAACATTTCGTCTGTCTGCGATAAGATTTTCAATGAAACTAACTTGTATGATCTCCGGAGACACTAAAACTTCGGGGTTTGTGTCTCGTTGTACAATTTACGTTGTTAGTACGATCAACGACTTCTAAATGATGAGGAGGTGCAACCGGTGGTGTTAGACTATTTGATCGCCGTTGGCGAGTTACAGGCGGGGGAAATTGCAAATTGAAGGCAGTACCTGGTTGTGTACCAAATAAACTTGTTTGGTCAGTTTGTTGTTGTTTAGAATTTCTCTGCCATGCATTGTCCCATCTAAATTTAAAACGTTATAATTGAATTTAAGCCAGATACATATGTTATTTTTTCCCACAATATATACTCAACTCGCTCACCTAATAGTAGTATTGGTGTATTCCTCAAGGCTGTGTATCGGTGGTGTACCACTAATACGTTCTTCAAGATGTCGAAGCCATTGGGTTAAAGAACGTCTATCTTGACTAGTTATAGCTGGATGGATCAAACAATAACTTAAAAGTTGTTGAGTTTGTTCTGTATATTGCCCAGTAGTCACACAGTGGCTTACTAATTCTGGTATAGCTACTAAGTAGCATTGTTTGCACTCTATATTCCCAGGCCTTAATAACGGCAAATGTGTTAGAAGTTGATTAATGGCAACTTCGGTCGATTCTGAGAGCAGTGAATTAATAAATGCTGCAACAATATTTTCGTTAAATATCATTTATTATCATACTTTAATTGTGTTCAAAATAATAATGATATTTACCTGGATTATTGGCATTTAATTCTTGTGTATCCAGTTCAGAAACAGAGTGCAAGGAATGCTGCACTGCTTGTGCAAGAAACCTTGCTTGAACTGCAGGAATGCGACGAAGTAGTGCATATAGTACCACAGTTTGTTCACACTCGTTCCATTGTGAAAATACTCGAGTGAGTTCACCAACTTGTTCACAAAACAAAGCACCTGGTGACCACTTCATTTTCAACTGTACTTTAATATCAAGGAGCAAATATTGAAAGCTCCAATTTCTCCTGAATTGCGTGTATTATGATTCGATTGTATTCCAACGATGTTCAGACAATAACAAACATGTGCCAATATTCTGTAGTAAATGAATAACAATATTTATATTTCCACTTCAATTTTATTTGATAGATAATATATTTGCAAGCATATCTTGTATACTTATTTATTACAAATAAAATTATTATTTAATAGTTTAAACCTTTTACAGATTTTAAAGAGCACAACATCTCAAATATTCAAATCATGCATTCCTTAAAATAATTATTAGTATAACTGTTTGAAAATTTATGGCCATAATCTTGTATTATCTTATCAAGTTAAAGTAAAGCAAAGCAGTTTTTGTTGTTACATAAAATCCACTTTCCAGGGAATTTTACAATATTGTGTCATATCATGTGAACAAATGATATAATAAAAAATCCTAATTTGTTTAATGCTTTATTATTGTAGCATGTTTCCACTTGAATGAAATATATTATATTTTAGTGAGAACTATTTAGTGCTGTTACTGATTGATATTTTATAACTGGTTCACTCAAGAACTAATTAATAAGGAAGCTGGCTATTCTAAAACAAAGAAGCCGGAAAGATATGTTTCTGATAAAAATGTATACTGTTCCTAGCAAAAGAAATGAAGTTTCAAGCAGTAGTGAAAGTTTTGAAATATCATGAAAAATCTATAAATTTAAAATCATATAATCTGTAATTATAATAAATTAAAGTGTAATATCCATGTACTGATATAATATGTATTGTTTTTTAAATATACAAATTTTTATATTTTTAATATAAAAATGCTAGTCTATCAAGTATATACTACTATTAGTTAGTTCAAAAATTATGATTAAACTAATTTTTATGTAAAGTCTTAATACAGAGGTACAACAGATTTAACATTGCATAAAATAATTAAAAATTTATTCATTTATTTGCGCAACCTCTAAAATCATCGACACCGCTATTTAACATTTAAACTAGTATCATAAAATTAATATTTAACATAAATTAACATATCAGCTTTCTAGATCAGTGAAAGTATTGAGTACGTGAAGCTCGTCAAACGTTCGATATCATTTCAATATTTTTGCGAAATTATTGTACACTTGTTTTATTCGAATACGAAACGCACAACATACCAAAGCACAGAACGATAACAATAACTCATGATAATGAGATATACATCGATTTTTACAGTGTTATTAAAATAACTAGTTTCGTTTCTCCGAAAATGAAATATTAATTACTTTATTGCTACATCCGACGGTTCAATTTCAACAGTATACAACAAACTCCGAACGCTTAAACATAACCTCAAAAGATTGTGTGTACACTGCATCGACACGAAGGTACATCGATAAGAATTCCACTGAGGTCAAGTTTGTTTACCCCGCGATGCGTGTGTATTTATAGCTTTCCTGTTACGACCATTCGGCAGTGCAATGGCACCGTGTGCGAGACTTTACATGCCCAACAGCGATTGATAAGATAGGATTCTTTTTACGGGTACGAATATCACGGTAACACCAGGAAGTACTAACGAGTATAAAAGGAAAAGTTCTCACACGGCTAAATTAAATGCTAGCTTAAAAGAAAAAAAATTTAATTTTGAATTTCCATAGAATTCTCGGAGTCGCTTTCGTCGGTGCCGCCGCGTATCTTTGTATGCGTGGGACACTGTAGAGGGGAAAGGACGAAGAACGAAGGAACAAAAACAAGAAAGTAAAAAATACTCGTATATATGTATATATGTGAGTATTAATAATCTTTCAAAGGAAAATATCAGAGGAAACTCGATATTTCGATACTTGCAAAATAATCCAAAGAATTATTCGATAAACGAAAGAAATATATACTGCTATTGTGCGACTAACACTCGGCCATTGAGCCGAACAGCAAACAACAAATTGTACCGTTCAAATCAGTCAACGCGTTACGCTGTGTAATGTAGCTACATAATGTTGTAATTACCGTGTGCACGACTGAAAATTGTTGTTCCACAGGATCGTTGTTCCCTTTTGCAAAATAACAACAATACACGATTATAACATTTTATACAACGTCGAGTTAAAGGAAACATCTATCCACCATGCGGTATGGTGGGCTTACGTGACCACACTGGTTCACCGTCGCGACCCGTTGCAGAACCTCAGCCCTACTATTGGTCCAAGCTCGAATGGTAACAGCCAATTGTGTGACGATTCGGGGCGCGGTTCATTTTGTCTCGTATGTCTATCATATTACTTACCCTCTGATAACGTAAGTTATAATCAAAATTGAATCAGACATTTAGAAATATTTTTAGTGAAGCTTTAAATCAATTCAGCGCGGGAATGTTACAATCAACTGTCAGATTCAAACTGTAGTAAAAGTGTAAGCAAGTTTTCAAATTTTCAAATCTGATTCCTAAATTTCTAATTCTTTTTTTAAATTTTCCGATCTTCAAATTTATAAATTTTTAAATTTTTGAACATAAAAAACAAGATTATTCTTTTTCTTACAGACTTCGTTGTTGATTTCACTATATATGTCCGTGACCGTGAGCTTTTCGGCGGGTACCTAATCTATGAGACGAATAAAGAAATATTTAATTTAAATACTATAACAGGACTAACTCGAATTTATTGAGACTCATTAATATAATTTATACATTTATTTATTACAATTTTTTCTATTTATTCCGTATTAGTTTTATATAATAAATTTTAATACAAAATTAACATCATAATATTAAAACTGCTAATATAATATTCACTGAATCTTTATTTCAAATTAGATTAAATATGATATACATGTTTAAATGAAAAATTAAAAAAATTGCAAGGTATTAGAAATATATAATACCATAAGATAAAATATGTGTAATGTTTACAAAAACAATGAATATTAAATATTAATTTCCATACAGTTATAGAACAATTTCCCAAATTATACGAAATAATGAAAAATTGATGACAAAAGGAACAATTGATTTTTGTTTACTATAATATATTCTTATCCTATGATGTGCTACTTGTTGCAGGGTATTAAATATTGTCGCCCATTCCATCACTCTCTGTGACTAATGCACGTTCCAGGATGACTCGACCTTCCTTGTATCGTTGATTATCGTCTGTTGCAAATTCATACACCCACCCAAGTTTAGCATCACAGTTTTTGCAGCTGACATCTCGGACCATGTGACGACCCGTCAACATCACTCTATCCTGTACCTCACTGTATATCATTGTAGATGAATTAAATTATGCATAAATAAAAGTTACATTAGATTATTCCATTAGTACAAGTTCTCTGTGATTCTGTACATTTATGAATGGTATCCTGTGCGCTAAACAATGTTAAAAAAAAAAAACTAAATGTGTACAAAATAGAAAAATGATGTGGCTAAGAATAATATAGAAATTGACATCATTCAAATTATTGACAAAATAACAGATATGCTTCCATCAAAAATTGTTTAAAATTTTAGGCATGACCAACACTGTGACAATGTTTATCTACTCAAATACACTAAAAGCTATCAAAATATAAAAGTTGCTATGTCGTATTTTTGTAAATAATTTTAAAAAAAGATTACTAACTTTTTTCCCTCACATTTTTCAACTGTAGCACTCTGAATGTCACTCGATTTTAATCATCTTTTTTTCCATTTTCTTAGATACATGAAAATAACAACAAACCATTTTGTACAATCATTTTTGTTTACAAACGCAAACGTTATCGAAACGTAACAATATAAAAATGTAAAAATGTATTATATCGATTAACATTAGCTTATTTTAAAGAACAAAGAAAAAACGCGAATACCTGTAATTCAAGTTGACGACTTTGTTAAAGAGAAAAGCACGGCCTGTGGCGCCCGTAAAACGCGTGCTTATCAGCTGACCTCTGTTTGTTAGATTGGTGTCACAAGAAGCACAAGAGAACAAACGAGTACCTCCGATGTGTTCTAAGAAAATTACGCCCATTCTGAAATACTGTTAATTGCTTTGCAAATGCTTGAATATTCGATGAAAATGACCTTCGAAATTAAGCTTCTGTGTGCTTCGATTTCACAAATAAGCAAGTCATGTAATTTGACGTAGCTGTCACTGCAGCCATAATACCATACACTACGCAACAACGGTACATAAACAGCTCAAATTTGTCAAACCGTTTCAATCATGATTCATAGATTTTAAGATTCTAGATGTACAACCTACATAGAAATTTCGAGATGCAATCTTTAATGCCATTGTGGTTTTAACCAATCAAAATCGACATGCGCAGAGTGAACAAAAATTCATGGCTCGTTGAACATCATTTTTCGAAGACCGAAATATTTAAAATTTAAAGTTTGTTTAACTCCACTGTAAACTTAATAGTCGTTCGATATAAAATAAATAATCGAAAACTAAATATTTTTCAAGTATAATATCTAATTTTATAATTGTATGCAAGAAATTAATTCGAAATTTGTAGCTTCAATTTTCACCCTCCAAAATAATAATTAAGAATCACAGAAATAAATAAAATACGATAAATATATTAATTGTTTATACATGTTTGTTAGAAATGAAAATTTCACACTTGCTTATTTTATTATTACGAGAATAGATAAATTTAAATAAGGATATAATTTTTATTTACAAATATTATAAGACAGCTTTAAAATTACGTCAAAATATTATATCTTTATTATTCATATAAACGGTATACAATATGTTACAAGTATAGATATAATATAGAATATATATATACATATACTATCATATACAATTTTATATATATGTATATATATACGTTCGTGTAAATTATATTTTTAAAGCTAGGTACATAGATGTTTGTGCAGTAAAATTCGAAACACTTTCCCTTGACTTTTTCTTTTATAAATCCAAATATTCGGACATTGGCTATAAAAGCCTCGTTATAATTATGTACCCTAACCACAATTAGAAAAGTGTGGAAAGGTATAAATGTAAAAGCCAAAAAACAGTTAGAATTGCGAAACGAATCGAAAATATATTATTGGTCATTGTTTTTTTTAATATCTATGTTCATATCTCTTCAAGGCACATTTGAAATATAATCAGTATACTCATTTCCATATTACAGAGGAATTTACTAACATTAATTGTTCCTATCATTTCACTAACAGTGTCTGGAGTTAGACTTCAATGAAATTAACGAAGTGAGAAAGAAAAAGAAAAAAGAAAAAAAAATCAATAGAAAAATATAAAACATTAAAAACTCCTTTAGCCAAAATCACAGACAAGTCCCTTACTTTCTCGAACAGAGCACAGAATCGCATTTTTTTCATGGTCTTAACGCTAAAATAATTAGTTGATATAAATATTATAAATATACATTCATATATATATATACGTAGTCTTATCAAATTACATACATACACGTATACATACGCTTTCTTTATACCCAGAGAAATATTTGCTAACAACAAAAATTTACATTTTTTCCATTTTGCATACGTGACGTCTTGTTACGTATATTTACATGTACGCACGTATAACATATAAACAATGGTCTTTCATGTATTGTGTGTGTGTACATGAATATCGCGTATGTATATATATATATATTTATACATGTATATTTTGATTGTATCCTTTTTTGATATTCAGATCATGAAGGATATCTTTCATAATACTGCACCTATTTCTATGTACATAAAATGTTTACAGAACATAATGAAATATAGATAAAACGTATGCCGATGATAATAACAAAAAATAGTAACAAGTGACTTTGCAATTATTACGTGTTATCGTTATTACACATAGATATGATAAAAATGCCCTGCTCATCGGCTTTGTTAAAGTTCATGGCTTCGTTATCATTATTCTCAATCGCATTTGTAACATTTTACATTAGAAAAATTAGTTTGCAAGATCACAAATTTCTTGCTTTCATCATCGTATAATACACGCTCGCTATCACTCTCTTATTGCATGCACCTTTTCTTTCCTTCATTGAATATTTATCTAGTCAGGTCCTATTATGACTATAATACGTCCTTTCTTTTCTTGGAAGTTGCACAAATTTCCCAACGAATATATATCAATATGCGGGCATTTTTTGTTTCCAGTTTAATAAAATGGCTATCGTCTGCACTGCAGGTATTTACGTTAACAAATATAGAATGCTCGACGCAACATTTCAATAATTACACGTAACGCAAAGTGAAAATTAGAATATCTTTCTTTTCTTTCTTCAATATGTAATAGTAACAAGAATAATTATTAACGAACTATATAAAGAAACTATCTTCCACTAACCACATTTGTAGGACATTTATGCAACATAAAAGAAATATCTTTACATGTTGAGTGACAAAATAATTATAGCAATTACACTATAAATGTTCATATTAACAGCGATTAACGACGAAGATATTAACAATAAGAACGTACAGTGCAGTCTCAATATATGGCATCTATTTATATAGTCTGATACGTGAATTTCTCTTCACATTTGTATGCAGAGATTTAGACATTTAAAATTTCTAAATTTTTTAATTTTCAAATTTAGCAATTTAGAAATTTTCAAATTAGAAAATGCAGAAATTAAGAATTCACGATGTACGATATTGACTGTGGCTAACAACCAGGTATTGCATGAAAATAGTTCTGTTAATTTAGTCCATTCCACAATTTTTCCACCTCTACAGTCCCGTCCAGAGCCATATACCGAGACTCCACCGTATCATGTTTTTGATCAATTTGAAACGCTATTTTTTTTAACAGCAATTAAAGCAGTTACTTTAATAAATTCAGCTAATAAGAAATTGTATTAAGAAATAAATGAATAAGATTTTGGTTTACTTAGTACAAGTTTATGCCGCGAACGACTGCTAAATATTGAAAAATATATATCTCTTATATATTATTTTTGGTAAGTTTTGTTCTGTTGGCGGCAACTGCTGCAAGACAAGCCAGTGCTTCTAAGTCCGGCGATGCACACCACGCTATTAATATTATAGAAATAATTACATTCGTATAAAGGTATACATTAAAAATTGCGATACAAAAAACAAATTATAAATACAATATGCTGATTTAATAATCGTCAAATACTTAAATTTCTTAATTGCTAAAAATGTTACATTTCAAATACGACGTAAACATTTCATAGAGAGGAACGTAAATTTACGTTTATAACGACATATGACCATTTTATGGCATAAAGAAATGTTTTTCAAAAACATTATAGCAAAAATATAAAAAAAATTTAAAGTAAAAATTAATTGTAATCTGTATTGTTCTTCAACTTAAATTACGTTCCAGTTTGTAGAATTAGGCTAAAAAAATTCTTATATTGTTTACATCAAACACTAACAAATAAAATATGTAAAAATAAATTGAAATTATATCATTTCAGTTTTCTATACTCACGTTTGTTAGACTCTCCCGTTGCAGCTTGTTTTGAATCACTAATAGCTGCAGCATTTCGCGTGATGCTCTGTTTTCGTGCTTTCCGTTTCTTACTTCCTACAAGAAGCGCTTTTTCAGAATCTTCTGAATTCGCTTGGCCATTCTTATTGAAATTGTTCTGATATCTTTTATTTAAAGCTGTTATCTTTTGGGCAAGTTTTTTCTTTTTTCGTTGCTGTTTCTTCTTTTCCTGAAATTCTTCTAAACTTAAAGATGGTAACGCTTCAATTTTCTTTTCTAAATTAAAATCCCTACACAAGAAAGTAATACATGAAAATAATATATTTTCATCAAAAAAGTGCATAAAATAATATTATGAAATAATGAAGTAACATACTCAGCTCGAAATCTTTTTCCTGCAGTCCATGGTCCATAATCTAATTCTTCTTCTGCACCTTCAGTTTCTGTTTCTTCAGGTTTTGAAGCTTCTATGTTTCCCTCAGCACTTCATACAGTAAACAATATTTTTTATTACATGTACAATAAATAAAAAATATTAGTTATAACTAAAAAATTGAAGTTACCTTTCTACAAGATGTTCTAATTCGCTACGGGTACTGTTTCCGCCTTCGCTACTCAAGGAATCTGTTTTCTCACTAATATTTGATGAAATAGAATTTCGTCTTTCATTCGTCTGTCCATCAGTACTAATACAAATATTCGTAACGATATATTATTTCATGATAAATGAATTCTCATAATATATTTAATAGAAGGTTCATTAAATGTATTTACCTTCGACTTCCAGTTTGTCTTCTTCGTTTAGACTGTTGTCCGGACGCACCGATATTTTTCATTTGTTCAGCAAGGAACTTTTGATAACGTAAACCTTTACATGTTCGTTCACTTCTACAATTATTTTCTTCTGAAGGTATATTTGTAGTTAAAAAATTATTTACTTCCATTTTTTCCTCTTCTACATTCTAAATATTAATAATGCACATATTTAAGAGATTAAATTTATGATATATTCAGTTACTTAATTATTCAAGTTATGTATATCAAAAATTAATTTCTTACATATTGATGTTCATTGTTGTTTGATTCAGGCTTTTTCCTTTTCTTTGCATCAAAAAGATCAGCTTTGCACTCTCTTTTATGCTCTGGTGAAGAAGGTGTATCTGAAAAATTTTTCTTAGGAGGTTTTGGAACTTCATTATCATCTTCAATCATAGAACCATCAACAATTGCTTGTTCATCTGTTGCTTGAGTTTTCTGAGGCGTAAATAAAGAACTGAGGCCACCAATTTGGGATTCATCAGCTAACTTTCCAGGTTGAATTGATTGTCCATCTCGCTTATCAAGTTCTGAATAATCGGAAGACTTGTTTTCAGATTCTGTATTTTCTATAGGTTGCTCACTAGAACTTGTTTCTGCCTTTTTATTTGTAGGCCTAGTATTCAAAGTACGTAAAGGAGGTGCTGGTAATTTGTACCATTTAAAATCAGGATTTGCATTTAAGAATGCATCTTTGTACTGAAAGATAATTAAAACAGAATTATAGTAATATATTTAAAAAAATTAGTATTACTGCATTTAAGATTTATAATGTATTATATCAAAGTATGTTGACTCATATTTATTAGAGTGACATCTACATTTTTTAATATGTAAATAATTACCTCCTGTGCAAGATTTTTATATGAACGCTTTTGGTCTGGGTGAAGTGTTGCCCACCATTCGCCAAGAACCCTTGTGACAGCTCGATTTTCTAAATGTGGGAAACCAGATCGCACTGAACCACGGTGTCGTTTACAAAAAATTAGAAATGCATTCATTGGCCTTCTTGCATGGTGGGCTGGTTCTTTCAACTCGCGTGGTTCCTAAATGTTGATCAAATTTTTATGATTATAAACATGTAACTGGCTGAAATTTTAATAAAATAAAAATTAAATAATTTTTTTCTTATATATTCAGTTTTTAGAAAAACATTCAACAGACTTTAAATTATTGAATGTCTGGAAATGAATAATACAATTTCTAAAAATAAAAAAATATATAGGGTGTTTCAGAATTTGTGGGTATAACTTCAGTGGTACATTCAGCACACTAAAATAAGAAAAGAGTTCATGTAAACATATGCCTGGTATGACCTTCTTTCCAAGATGCAGTCAAGTTTCTATCTCCTAATAATTGTTTATGATAAATACTTTATTAGATAAAAAGTATGAACACTACTTTTCAATGAAAGAAAATCAAGAAAAAATTTCTTGAAAAATAGAATGACAGTAAGTGCTTAAATACTATTAAGTTACTATTTAAATTTTTTTTTCAGAAATGACATTAATTATGAGATGACCTAATAGATATATAATACTTATATTTAATAACATTTTTCTCTGATCATTATAAAAATTATACAGCATTGAGTATTAATGTAAAAAAAGAAGTAAGTAAATATATTTTTAATATCTTTAAATCGTAACAATATATAATCATACTATAGCAGTTTCGAAGCCTTAAAATCACATACCCTGACAGTTTCTAAGGTCATATATGCTTACCTGCATGTAATAGTAACTATTAAAACCTACTACTTACATTGACTACAATTTGAAAAAAAAAATTATCAATGTACATATGTTACAAACTTATTCACATACTTTTTAATAAATTAATCTATGATATTTAATTAAAAATTTTTTTTTATTCAAATAATATTTTTATAATAAAATAGCTAATATTTGTTTAAAAATTTCATTCATGGAACCATACTAAAATAAAAGATTGCTTAATCACTTAATTACTTTATTATTGTATGAGAAGTATATTGAGAACCATATTGCTTTATTAAAATAATGAACAGTTACTTCTTTGATGCATTAAATTGATTATCACGATAAGCATTTTATAAAAATTATTTATCTTTCATATTTTCAGTAATGTCCTATTCACCTTCATACTTAATGAAATATTATGGAAGTAATTAGAAAATGTAAACGTAAATCGATACACGAATACGACGAAGATCGTGTATGTATATGTAAGTCACAAATAAAAGGGAAACTATACTTATTTCGGTCTTAAAGAATATGGTTGCTATCTTTTTAATATTTTTACCTTCCCGATAACTGGACTTTATTGCGGAATATCGTATGCAATTGTATTAAATTTTATATTTCATGCGATGTTATGAAATCACGTAAATTGCAGTATCATCTGTAAAAAAAACGCTGTTTAATCACTCCACGACATTCGCGAAAAGGATTTTTCCAAAAAAAGATATCGTTCCATGATAAGTCCGAGGAAAATCACGTCTATTTATGGTACACCGAGGAGATCGGTAGAATTCAATGCCAAAAGAATGAGACATTCGCCACATTCCCGAAATATCTCGTAATCGCATTAACAACGATATATCATTAAAATTAGTAATAGTGTGTTAGTGAATTCCTGATCTTGTTGAAAAAGAAAAACAGATATCCATCGTCATGTAACAGGCATATGTTAATTTTCATATTCTGTCTAATTATTTCGAACGTGCGCAAAGTCCGCGATATTTTCAGTCGACGTCGTACATTTTCTATTAATTTGATATTCATCTTAAGGCCGAATCGTTAATGGGAAGGAAAATAAAAATTATGGAGGAGGTATCGTTAAAATTGTTGGGGCATGTCGCTTGTCATACGTCGTAGCTTTCGTTAATGCTATTGTAGTACGTTGATTGCTTCGCTCGAGCTTATCCCTGATAAATTTCCTACAAGATTTTCGACATTCTGAAAAAAACAATTTTCCAATATATCCCGAGTTGGTAAAAGAAACGAAATGCTACATATTTTTCGTAAAATTTCGTGACACCTTCGCGATCATCTGCTGACAGCTGCTTGTGCGAATGTAAATACTGCACACAGGAATCTATACGTCTTTCTATGCACCGATGATCTGGCAAATATTTGAATGAAGTAGTACGTCTCTTCGAAAAATTCCTGTCCATGTAAAACGGTTGTATATTCTTGCGCAATCTACTTTCGAATCTCTTTCGCTGTCGAATATTTATTAACATTCAACTAAAGTCAAGACGTTGTTCATTTTGGTACGACCAGTCTCGAGATACCGTGTAAATCCCCGTATTTTGACTCGAAATCATCGCGAAAAAGTTGTGCGTTCGATCATTTCGAATGACAAATATACACAATGACGATATCATGTGTCGATCGATTGGTCGAACGTATCAAAAAACCATTAAACATCCGAGAAAAATACACTGTATTTCTCCCTACTCACCTTGCGTTGTTGCTCGTTGGCAGCCATTTCTGATTTCACTTGACAATTCACTCAGCGGCGCATAATAAAGATAAAGCTTCGGCACTGACTGCCCTCTCTTTTCCACTATGCCTTGTTTTCTTTCTCTGGCTCTTTTCCGTGCACGAATTAACCTCTCCTTTTCTTACGTACTATTCCTATCTTTCTCTTGCTACGATACACCGTTCATCTTCAATTTGTTTTTAGGTATAGCTATGTGAAAGAAAATTCTCGTACAATGTTACAATTCCTTCACTGATATCTGCCGATTTTGTCGCTGTCAGATACACTGCGGATTACGTTCCAACTAAAATCGTACGAATACTACTGTCTCAGCAATTTTGGTTTCCAACTAAACGTCTGTCGTGCAAACGTCACGAATGTGTAAAACGTCACTAATCAAAATCCAGTCACGCGCCTCTTACCCTTTCGGTCGGAATTAACTTCGATCAATCGATAAACCTTTCGTTGCATCGATCTATTATTAATCTTGAATCTGTCCGATGAATATTCAGACTTTGTCTCCCTTTGCACGAATCCGCACACGTGCGAAATTGAAACACACGTTAATATGTTATACTTTTTCATCATCGTGCGCAGTACATTCAAAAACGCAAGAGGTTCGCGCGGACAAGTGTTTTGCAAGGTAGCCAATTGAACTGCATGAAAAACTCTAGAAAGAATGTAATATTCTTCTCAATAACAAATAATATGCAACTCGCGCATCACAGCTAATTTCAGTAGGTTTCCTTTAAATGACATTACAGTGTTGTCACATTACATACGCTTTCTACTTCGCCGGCCATATGCATGGAGGATAATGTACGCATATAAGGGGGAATCATAGACCAAATATGAATGAGTTTGAACATTTTTATTTTCCAATAAATAAAAAATGTAGACCTAACATTTCTTATATCGCGTAATCGTGTTTGGAATCTCAACCCTTTAGAAACATATTTGTCCCTATATTCATAGACCTTATACAAAAACTTATTTGAATATTAGGCATTTTTTAAGCTAATAGCATTACAAAATTACTATAAAGAAAAACACTTATTTTACTATAGTCTTAACAAACTTAATATTTTCCATTTATGATGAAACTGTTTCTACTTCACCAGTAACAGCAATAGCTTCAATTTCAAACAGAGCTCCCTAAAATAACATTTCACAATTAATGTCTGAGATATATCAATTTTTAAACGCTTAACAAATTTAATGCTTTATACCATTGGCAATTTTCCAACTTGGAATGTAGATCGGGCTGGATAGTTTTCCTTGAAAACTAAAAGAAAATATATATACATACATATACGTATATTAATATCTTAAAATAAAATCAGATTTAATAGAACTGAATCTTACATTCTTTGTAAACTTCATTTATTCCAGCAAAATCATCAATATTTTGTAACAGGATTGTTGTTTTTACGACTGTAAATATAATAAAAAATAAGTATTATTTAAATTTTTAATAATAATACTGAGGTATTATAAATTTAGATAATTAATTTAAAAAAAATTGACCTTTATCATAATTAGATCCAGCTTCTTTTAAGATATGTCCCATATTTATAAGCGCTTGACGAGCTTCAGCAACAGCACCTCCTTCAACAAGTTTCTGGGTTTTAACATTTAAACCAAGAACTCCAGACAAATATAATGTACGATCTACAAGTACCGCTTGGCTGTTTGAAATTAATCATATTATTAGTACTATCTATATCAAGTAATAAACTTTTAAATATTATAAAATTTTAATAATATTGTTGCTTACTTGTAAGGTCCAACTGGTCTTGGACTCAATGAAGTTGATATTATTTTTCTTACCACCTTTTGTGAAGCCATTATTATTTTCGCCGAGTTTGCGATGTATTTAGTCTTCTGTTTTAATTTAACTGATCCAGTGCCAATTGTGTGTTCTCCTTATGTATTCATATTTATTTTTGATAAACTTTTAACCCCTTAGTTAAGCAATATCTTATCTTAAGTTCACTATGTAATTCTTTCCAAGATATAATATTTAGAAAACAATAGATTTTTAATCATAAATGAAAAAAAAAAAAAAAATATTTTCAAGTTTTTTTTTATGTATTAGACTCATTTAAACATAGTAATTTTAATGTTTAAAAAAAAACGGTTTAAAAAGACCTATAGAAGTTTCTCAGTGTTGATAAAAAATTATTTAAGAATTCAATATTAAAAATCGTTTATGTATTTCTCATTTATAACTACATAAAATCGAATAAAAATGAAGAATTACATTATCTTGTCACATTACATTTATGGTACAGGTTGTAACATGTATAACATAAGTTGAAAACAGAATTTATAAGATTTCTTAATCAAGATTAAATATATTTGAGTTTTTCAAACTGATCTTTATAAAAAATGAAATTATATACAAAAATATATATATATGTATATATAATTCTTGTTATTTTAATATACTCTTTTCTTTCAAATCTTCCAATTTTTTTCATAGTATGACCTTTGCATATATTCTTAAAACATAATTTATTAAACATTGGCATTAAATAAAGAGACACAAAATTATTTCTGCAAGTATTAATGGTATTTATCATAACTAGAAAAAATTTATATGATAAATTATCCAATTTCTAAAGAAGATATAAATATAAAAATAAATTGTTCAAAATATTTATAATACTTCAGTATGTATTAAGTTTACTTATTACTACAAAACTTCTATGGATATAAAGCATTACAAAATAAGAAAACGAAAAATCTTTTATGTTAAACTTTACTTGTCAAACCGATGAAAACGAGGTTTTTTACAGCACAGTCATATTTTTTATTATAATATATGTATATGCATATGTGTGTTGTGTGTGTGTGTGTTGTATGTATGTGTATATATATACACAATGATACACGCGCGCGTACGCGCAATACACACGTGTATGTTTTCATATGAATTATGTATATTTGTATAGAGCGTTTACACACCTTTTGCACTCTTTTTCTAAGCACAACAAATATTACAGTATATTTTATTGATGGTAATGTCTATGAATCAAGAATGATTTATGACGAGCTTACGAAGTTTCAGTGAGCCGTATTATTACGTCGCCCGCGTCTCTTGCGACTTCCACCGGAAGGACGGTTCGAAGAAGCCCATTGTTCATAAAAACGTTCTGCTTCTAACCATTCTTGATATTTATACCACCATTCTTCCCACTTTATATAGTCATCCAAAGTGAGGTCTCGAAGATATCCTCGCGCCTTGTAATAGTCGTATCTAACACGAACGTCATCCCAACATTCAAGACCTCTTGGTCCTTGTGCCAAAAGCGACTCAGGATAGTGTCCTGGTGGTGGAGAATCGTATCCTAATCTTGCAATTCTTTCTTCACCTTCTATTACAACTTTCATTGCATTTTCTCCATCTTTTGTGATGCGCATGTTCTCCATGTCTCTACGATCTACGCTCCATTGTGCCATTTTACCAAATCTATGAAACAACGAAATTTTATATTTTGTTAAGACAACATTATTAATAAATTATGTCTATATTTACTAAACTCTTTAAAACTTCGATTTTAATTCCTTACATACTATAATGATACAAATTGTACATCAATAATGAGTAGATTAAATGCTTATAACCAAAGAGCCTATGAGCACCAGTTTACATCTGGTGTAAAACCTAGGGAGAATATAGGAGAAGCCTACAGGAACTTTGGAGAAAGCTTTAAGTGGGAGCTAAGGATAAATCGCCATTCCTGACAATGAGACAAATACAATTCTTGCAGGCTACTACCAATCATGCTATATTACAGAATACTTTAAATTATACCTTTCTGATAACGTCATCCTAGGTGGACCAACGTGAGATGTGGTAGAAGAACTATCACTGTCTTCGCTAGGCGAGGATTCGGGCGGAGGCCTAATCATTTGAGTTGATCCATGACTCGAATGAGTTTTTTCTACTTTTACAGGTTTACGCATCTGCGTAAGTTCCATGATTATGCATTGGGAACAAGCAAAAAAAAAAGAGGTACATAAACAAAAGTTAATAAATAATAAAGATGTAAGGTAAAACGTAGTAGTATTAGTATCAAATTCTTTACCAATGGAATGGGATCTGGAACTCGTGGATCCTCTGGAATTCTAGTATGATGCTTTTCTTTACGTCTAACCTTCGTTTCCTTTTCTTTAATTGTTTTATAGTCCTTTTGATGACGTGGTGGAGGTTGTGGCGTAGGCGGGGGTGTACGTGGGCGTGGCAAGGGAGGCGATCGTGGTCTAGTACGAGCTGGTATTACTCGTGAACTTGATGGTACTACCTCTTTTGGATGTGTCCGAGTTCGAACCGGCGTGAGTGATCTTGAACGTGAACGGGAAGGCTGTACAATACGTCGACGTTCTTTTGGTGAACAGACACTACATGATCGATCGGAACAAGTACTTCCAGTACTTGGACTACGCGTGGGTCTGCCTCTGGTATGTGATCTATCTCGAGGTGAACGCGGACTTTTAGTCCGTGGACTGCGTGGTCGTGAAATATGAGGACTACGAGGTCTAGGACTGCGTGGACTTCGGGGATGTCCTCTACTAGGTTCTCCACTTGCTGTGCCCCCAACGTACAATTCCTTGTACCCACTGTGTCTCCACCTATTTGGATCTCGTTCCTCTACCTCCAAAAGCTTTTTATTCCAATAACTTGACTGAGATTCACGCGCTTTCCGCATTACGCTATCTAATTCCCTCCGTTTTCCTGAATTTTCACCATGTGGTCTGGGCTGAGATACGCTGGTATCCATTCGTAATTTACTAGAACTGCTGCCACTACCGCTACCTCCTCTTCGTCTATCATAGTCCCGTGACATTCCTAAAACAAATAAAACATGTCACTAACATTGTTTCTGCAGGTTTATGTTTATTCCTTTCAATGTTTATAACTTACAACTCTTTAAAATATAAACATTTACCATTTTTATTACTATCTAAAATACAAATACGTATGAATATATATTTTATTAATATAAGGACTGTTGCTAAAGAAACTTTTTAGATACATACCTGACAAAGGTGTTAAATAGGAAATAGCGGAGGAGACAAAAAGCTGATGATCCAATCTCCTACGAGAGCAGTGAACGCGTTAATTTTCAAAACATGACAAAATGCCCATAAAGATGATAATACGGTGCACTGATCCCCATGAGATCGCTAGAAGAACCAGTACCACTCGTGCTTTGCGTCGACTGGCCTACGTCAAAAATTCAACGTCACAAGATTTGGTAATCGCCCTGCAGTGGTCAATCAGAGGAAAAGTTAGTTGTTCCCGATCAAAAAAAAAAGCGTTTTCTCTCTCAGAATTAGAAATTTCGCGAAAATCCATTTGTGGTACTGGACATCACCCGTCGCGAGACCTTACCATCGCCACTCTCCGCATGTCCAGAATTGTAGTACGCTTCGATCCACGATCCATAAACGTTGGTCGTGTGGACTTTCAATGAGACGAACCAAATTGAGAGACCGCCTTTGAAAGGCGCCGCGCGCGCGCGACAACCGGAGTCGCGTTTGTTATCGAATCGAATACGGACAGGGTGTGAAGTTTTTCTCGAGCATTACCCGGGTAATGCCATAACCGAACGGCACTCACCGTAGCCGATTACGATACACGATAAGATTAGTCGTCGTCGTTCGTACACACAGACGAGAGAATTCATCGAACGTAGACGGTTAAATCTTTTCGGCATTCTGACATCACCGGGAGATGTCGTGTTCGCGAAACCGTCACCTTTTCGGTAGGCACCGGAGGAGGATACCTTGCCGCGAACGACCCGTAGCCACACCGAAACGTGACGCGGAATTGGTGGCTCGAGTAACGGTTGGTACGTGACCTTCACGTACAAGCCCGATTACGCGATTTCGCGACCGGCGGAACCGTATTTCTCGCGACACCATTTCGGGATATTACCCGGGTAATACCTTACTGATGTCGTAACGAACTCGAGAAGCGCGGTACGCCTCAAGTGGTGCTTGAGGGAATAAAGAGAAAGAGAGAGAGTGTCCGAAACCGGTATGTACGCGTATAGCCTCCTTCGCTCCTTTCTTTCATGAAAAGCGAAGGTCGGCTCTTCTCGCTTTTTCCATTTGCTGGTACACACCTTTGCACTATGTATATGTATATATATATATGTATGAATATATATATTCTTTTTTAAATAAAACGTAGCTTCACAAAACTTTTACTCGACAGTATTAGAATGAATAATCTAACTTCGGCAGCGCTCGCTGCTACTCGGTACTGCGAAGCGTCAGAGGCGTTCGTTCGCTCGCACCCGACGACGGTCACTTTGAAAATCAATTGCCCACCCAGTGAGCGCTAACCGAGGTATTTCACGACATTCACCGGATTTGAGAACCTTTCAGATAACAACACTCACTTTTCTCACCGCGGCAATTTGCAAACTTGCATTTTCTGCCACAAGAATCAGTGAATCACTTCCGCGTGACGTTCTACGAATGGAGATTATAAAGGAGACTTTTTTCCGAGGAGCCGCACCAACCGCAGAGGATACATTCCAAACGAGATAAGTGACAGATGTCGCTACGGTGATTCGATAACTCGCGAATCCTTGCGATGCTGGTATTCGTTCAACGGTCAAATCGTACCCATCGTTTGACGAGTTTTCATGTGTACTGCGCATATTGGTTTTCATTGGTTCAAGCAAAGAATAGACATATCAAGAGGCGACACTAGATAAAGAAACCTACCTCTTAGAGAGACAGAGGACGCACCAATTTAAATGACCAAATCAAAAGAATCGGGGATGCGCATGCGCATAGTGTGGAAGTATGGCGGGCGAAAAAGAAGAATTTAAACCTGCATATTCACTAATGCATATTTGCAATAAATATTTTGTCATATATCTGTAACACATTTATCTGTAATTTCTTGTGAAATAAAGTTTTTTATTTTCTTATAAGTTGTAATATTCATTTCCGCAATACCTATCCTTCAAATATATTTTGTAGACCAATCATTTTGGTATATTTTCTTTTTCAACTTTTCCATAAAATTGATAAAAATACCTCAAAAGACAATATTAATAATGAACAGAAAATTTATTACAAATACATATCAAATTATTAGAGATTGTTGAAAGTAGTTTCACTCGATTTAAAATTCCCGCTCGTACAATTTAATGGGACAGCGTTTTCGAGAGATCAAAGGTGTCGCCTCTGGTTTATTCTGTGGTTTCCGTCTTATCTATCATCCACTTTTGAAAAGTTTAGTATTTTATTATAAGACTTGTAAATCTTCTAAATTTTTACAAGTGTGGAACTTGTAATATATCACTTGATCCAAACATTTTTGTAAAAGAAAATGTGAAATAAATGAAATTATAATTTAATTCGTAGCTATTAGCTCGATATCATTTTCTAAAGTTCATTTAAAAAAAAAAATGTTTAGAAAACGATATCGATTACCAGGTCACACCACGTGGAGGTTGCTACGATAGTGACCCACCCTAACTCCAAATCCCTTCCACCCTCCAAATGCAACCTCATTTATCAGAAGGATAAATGAGTTCTGACTCTACTTCGCTCATAAGCTCGCATATACAAGTTCTTTACCACAATCCAGCAAAGAACTTGTATCACACACACACACACACATACATTAACTTAATACTAATCGCATAGGATCCCACACGCATACGCTTAACTTATTCTAAACGCCGCACGATACCTCTCATTCCAAGATTGCACTCAAATAATCTATGACGAAGTAAAAAAGCAAAGGGGCAAAAAAGAAAGTTAGAAGAACTTTCTACTAAAAGAAAAGAAAGTTAGAAGAACTTTCT